ACAGTTTCGTGTTTCCCGATTCTAATTCGGTTTGGTGACAGGGTTTCAATTGGGAGTCATGGAAGAAAGAAGGAGGATTCTACAACTCTCTCCACAACTCCATCGACGACATTAGCAACTCTGGAATCACTCATATCTGGCTTCCTCCTCCTTCTCAATCCGTCTCTCCTGAAGGTCCATTTCTCTTCTTCTTCTTCTTTTTCACTTTCCTTATCTCACTCCAATTCTTTCAATCTCCTCAGGCTACTTACCGGGGAAGCTATACGATCTAAACAGCTCCAAATACGGTTCAGAGACGGAACTGAAATCCCTAATCGCAGCGCTGAATCAAAAAGGAGTCAAATCTGTTGCTGACATCGTGATCAACCACAGAACGGCTGAGAGGAAAGACAATCAGTGCGGCTACTGTTTCTTCGAAGGCGGGACTTCCGATGATCGTTTAGATTGGGGTCCTTCCTTCATCTGTCGCGGCGATACTAACTATGCCGGCACCGGAAACCCTGATTCCGGCGAAGATTACAAGCCGGCTCCCGACATCGACCACCTTAACCCCGTAGTCCAGAGAGAGTTGTCGGAATGGATGAATTGGCTCAAATCTGAAATCGGATTCCACGGCTGGAGATTCGATTTCGTTCGTGGCTATGCCCCTTCCGTCACCAAATCATACGTTCAGGTCAAAATTGTTTGATACTATTTCTTTTTAATTATAATTTAGAGTCTCTTAATTTTTTTTATAAATTACTCTGCAGAACACATCACCGGATTTTGCGGTGGGCGAGAAATGGGACGATATGAAGTACGGAGGAGATGGGAAGCTGGATTATAATCAGGAGGAGCACCGGTCGGGGCTCAGAAACTGGATCGAGGAAGCAGGAGGTGGTGTGACGACGGCTTTTGATTTCACGACCAAAGGGATCTTGCAATCTGCGGTTGGAGGTGAGCTTTGGAGACTAAAGGACTCGCAGGGGAAGCCGCCTGGTCTGATCGGAATCATTCCCGGAAACGCAGTCACTTTCGTAGATAACCACGACACTATCAGACCAAACTCGTGGGCTTTTCCTTCCGACAAAGTCTTGCTTGGTTACGTTTATATTCTTACTCATCCTGGCACTCCTTGCATTGTAAGTACATGCTTTAGAATCGGAGAGTTTGGTTTAAGATTTCATTTCGGTTTAATCATGATTCGGTTTGGTTTGTTTCATTTTGATTGATACACTGTTGGTTTTGTTCGGTTTGGTTAGGTTACATTAAAATAATAAAATCTATGTTTCTCTAATGCTTCATGCAGTTTTATGATCATTTCATGGAATCGGGACTAAAGGAGAGTATATCGAAGCTGGTGGCGATCAGGAAGAGAAATAGCATTGGTAGCACAAGCTCTGTTACGATTAAAGCGGCCGAGTCGGATCTCTACTTGGCTGTGATCGATGATAAGGTTATAATGAAGATTGGGCCCAAGCTGGATTTGGGAACTCTTGTTCCTTCTGATTTTGCTTTAGCTTATTCTGGCAATGACTGTGCTGTCTGGGAGAAGAAGTGACCCGATTCGTCAAGTTCGCTATAAGAATTTAAAAACACTCACCGAATGCAACCTTTTACCTTTTTAATATCATGATGGTTTGTAAGATATTTAAAGAAATAAATTATAAACTTAATAATCAACAAAATAACCAGAGTTTTGTATTCTAATGATTTGCTCTAATGTTTGCTAATGTATTACGTACCACTAGAATCAAATTTGAATTGCGTATGGAAGAATGCCGGTTGTAGGTAATACAAGTATACAACTATACAAAGTATATAAATGGAAAAGTTGACAAAATAACACTTCATATTGGTATGTGTGAAAGTGAAACTATTAAAAGTCGACCTCATTTTCCTATTGTTATCACTTGATTTGTCAAAGATGAGAAACTGAAATCTTATGTTACATTTTAGATAAATAAAAGGGTGATATCATTTTAGATAAATAAAAGGGTGCTATTTTTTGCATGTGAATTTTTTTGTTTGTTAAATTATATTTGTTGCCAAATAAACACTATCTCTTTTGCATATGAATTTTCACCACAAAAAAACACGCATTTCTCAATCATTTGTTAAGTTCAGAAAAATATCCTTTATCAAAAAAAGTTCAGAAAAATATCTTTTGTATTAGACTCGTAAAATAATTTGGACCCCACAAAGACACAGAATTAAAACGTCTTAACAAGAAATACCGCCAAAACTGAAATCTAAACGCATTATTTACTCGACAAGAAAAATCTGGTGGGAACAGTTTTTTTTTTTTGAACACAGTGGGAACAGTTAAAATGGGTAAATTCGAATTCAATTGAAAACGTCACCGTTTTACTGAGCTCAATAAAAGTAGAAGACGTCGGCTCGGTGAGAAGAAGTAGAAGTGACGACGAAAACAAAAAACGAAAAAGAAAATAAAAAAAAGAAAACCGTCGGCTTGAGAGAACTTTCCCAAAGGGAACTTCTGATATTTGGTGACTCTTCAGCTTTCGTCAAAAGCTTTTCCTTCTTCTTCTTCTTCCGCTTTTTCACACACCTAATCAAAGATCCAAACGCGAATTCCAGAGCTACAGTTTCTGTATTGATTCTCGTTTATTTATTCCTTTTTTTTCCTTTCTGTTTCTATCCACGTTTCGAAGCGACCTCTGATTCTGGTTTTCGCTGTCTACTTTAATTTTGCAGATTCGAACTGTTTCAGATCTGAAATATTTGTGATTAATTCTGGTTTTGAGGAGCGGGTTTTGGTAATCGGAGCTGGATTTTTGTTTTACCGGAGGTCTGAGAGAAGTCAACGGATATGCCGGAGGAGGAGTCGATAGATATCAAATTCAGGTTGTACGATGGCTCCGATATCGGGCCCTTTCGGTATTCGGCGGCGTCTACGGTTGATTTTTTGAAGCAGAGGGTCGTCTCCGATTGGCCTAAAGGTTTGTTTGTTGATTTCAAGTTTTCTCTTTTCCGTGATCGGTGTTACTTCCCCCCAATCTGCTCTTAGTTTCCATTAAGCTTCACGAAGTTCCCGTTGATTTTCGCTAAATTCTTCTATTGTCGGTAGAACAATACGCGATTTAGAGCTGTGGATTGTTAATTAGTCTCGGATGATTAGTCCACATGAAGTTATAGGCATGATGATTTAGGAAAAACGGGCCTGTGTGAATTATGGTAATCCAGAGAATCAGTTTTGTGAAATTGCAGCCTATTTCAATGCTCTCTCTTCTTTTCGTTGTTGTGATTTCTGTAGGCAAAACAGTGGTTCCAAAGGGGATAAACGAAGTGAAGCTGATCAGCTCCGGGAAGATATTGGAGAACAACAAGACTGTTGCGCAGTGTAAAACACCATTTGGAGATATTGCTGGTGGAGTCATTGTCATGCATGTTGTTGTACAGCCTTCTCTAGCAAAAACTAAAACAGGTTACTTTTTTTCTTTCTTGTCTTGTATATCAGAAATTTTCATTTTCGGAGACGTATGCTTTCTTCAGTGATATTCTTGTTTTTGCTGCCAACCCTTGAAATTTGTCTCCGTGATATTTTGCACAAACTTGATCAAATCATTGAACTGAGTTTGTGATGTGTAAGACAATGTTGAAGAACTATAACTAACAGTTGAAAAATGGTTTGATTGAACAGAGAAGAAGGTCGATAAAGCACCCAAGGCGGTAATCTGCACATGCACCATTTTGTGAAGGGAGCAAGACAATGTATCATACACACAGTCGTCTCAAATTCTTCAGGTACAGAAGAAAACAAAAACCAAAAAGAAAGGTCAAAGTAAAAGTAAAGCTTCCCAAGCTGTGGAGTATCATAACCTTGAAATTCAAAGCTTTGTATGTGTAGAAAATGATTAGATTCTTTTGAATTATCCATCATCTCTTGTCCTTTATTTGTTTTTTGTTCACACTATCTGGTATACTTCATTCGCGTCCCAAGTTGTTGTAATAAACGGAAGTTGTATAGGTTACTAGTAGTTCTTTAAGGATTACTGTGTGATGAAGATAATTAATTATGTACCTATGAAAGAAAGAAAAAAAGTTGTGCTCTTTATTCTCCATTCATTGTTCTTTTCATTACAGCATTATATAATACACATTCCCTTTGAGCACAATTATAAAGCCAATTGAAGAACAAGGAAGGTTTTTGATAGAACAAAGAAAGAAATTTCAATCGCAACAGCCAATCGGCAAAAAAAGAAAGAAGAGAATATACATAAACTAGATAATCGTACATTTTTCTGATATAAGTTGGGTAGATGACGTTGGTAACTTTTTGTGCATGATTTAGCATGTTATTTTTCTAATACGCTATTTAATCAGAAAACATATTACACATTATTGGATCGTTATTTCGTCCAATAAGACGCCATTTTATCAAGCCTTCGTTAAAAAAAAACGCCATTTTATCAAATATTACATACTTTTATAAAATCACAATTTCATAAAAATGAAGAATGGTATTTTCGCCATGCTGTATATATCACTAAATAATGAAATTGACAAAAACAAATATATGTAAATCCTGAAACACTAATTGGTGACACCAGTTAATTTTGTCAATTTTGCTTATATTATGCTTATATTTTGTTTATATTTTGTTTATATTTTTCTTATATTTGTTCTATTTGTGATAGCACTAGCTATTTAACCATTAAATCTGGAGAAGTATTTTGATATTTCACTTTTTTTTCATATTTTTAGTTAAATGCAGCTATTGGTATAAAATTATCACTTAGTGTTCACATCTGGGTATAAAATTATCACATATTCTAAATGCAGCTATCACCAGCGTAAGTGATAATTTTATACCCAGATGTGGATTTTATACCCAACTCGTGATAGCCATTAATTATGTAGAAGTATTCATACATTATGACAAGACTGCATTTAGTGTTCCAGAACCAGAACCACCCTCAAATCACCTAGTTTATACAAACTTCTTCCTACAACCCATTTTCTTAACCACCACTGAAACCATTTGCGAAACCTTAGCCATGAACTCAAATATCCTTCCCATTGTGGCAGCATTCTCCCTTCAAGTTGGCTTATCCGTTATGTCTGTTTTTGCCAAATATGCTCTAGATTGTGGGCTGAGTCCAAGGATTTTCGTGGCTGAGCGACTAGCCATAGCATCTGCCATTCTAACACCCCTTGCCCTAATATTTGAGAGGTAAGGCTCAAATTTAGTGCATCCCTTGTTGTTTCTAGTCTTATGCTTTCTGAGTAGATCTTTAACTGCACAGGAATACACGACCTCCTATGACGGCCAAAGTCTTTGCTCAGATTGCTCTCATGAGCTTATTTGAGTAAGTCATCATTATTCATTAATCTTTTGAACCAGTCATCACAGTCATCATTATAAGTTTTTTGATTTTTCTGTGCATATTTGAGCAAGTCATTATTCATTAGTCTTTTGTACCAATCATCATTACAAGTTTTTTTATTTCTATGCATATATGTACTTTTACTGTTTTACAGGCCGCTATTGGCTGTACTACACAGGTTTTTGCGTTGTCTAAACGATGTAGGGGTCAGTCACTTATGTGTGAAGTTTTGAGATGTTATATCACATCTAGAAAAAGTTATGAGAAGTGATGTTAGAATAAGAATGAGAATGCTTGCCAAGTTTTTTAGATGTGATAAGTTGTATGTTGCATGACTCTCTCTAGATTTAGTATAGTTGATTAATGATTTGTATTGTTGTATGTTAATCATCGCATCAGCAGGCGTAGTGCGTAATTCATTACGTAATGCGTAAGTCATCACAGTCATACAAGAATGTACTTTTACAGGCCACTCTTGGAGCAAAACCTGTACTATACAAGAATGCAGCTCATTGGGCCATAACGAAAACTTTCTCTTGGAAGAATCACAAAGCCCAAAGGCTAAAGTAGTCAATTACGCACATGCATTTCTTATCAAGTCTTTTCAATTTCCAGAAATTGCATGGCATGATTGAGGTTAATATACATCATATCATAGCACATTAAAAGGGAATTACAAAAATAATTCACTTGTGAATGATCAAGTAATTGAATTGTTTTGAAATTTCATTCCCATGTCAATTAATCATAATTGGAAATTTCAACTATTTATAAGAACAGAACTCCAAACTATTTTAAAAATTGAAACATACGTTCATAATTTTACGAAGGATAATACAATTTCGAGACATTTCGAAACAAAATGATGAGAGAAAAAAGAAGAAGAAGACGAAGACGACAAAGTACAATCTAGTGAAACACGACTCAACAGACAACATTGATAAAACCACTAATTTGTTGGTAACATTAAAAACTACTTAAGTTTGGATTTGGCTTGATACTTTCTTTTCAACCTGCTCCTCTAAATCACCACCACCACCGTGAGTTTGATGAGGTTGAGCCGTCAATTCACCGGAAGCTGGAGTTGATGCAAGCTTGACCATATCGATAGAGTGATCCGACACCGTTTTCGGTTTCTCCGTGTCGTCAACCTTTGGGGCTTTATAGTACTTGAATATGACGTAGAGAATCATTTGGACTGCTCCCAGGAACGCACCCAATATATTTGGAAGCTGATCAATCATATCAAAAAAGTAATCACATCAGTAATCCAGTTAATCATTAATTAAAAATAAATAAATCAAGAATTGCACTCTCGGTCTCTTTGACGCAATCATATATTATATGATTGTAAGCGTAAAGCAAAAGTAGTGTACGGCTCAAATCATATATTCGCCGTCTTTATATAGAAGGAATTGGGGAAAAAGAGACAAAAGGTGGTGGAAACTCTTTCCCCTTAAAACATGAACCACCCATAATAATATATGATACTATGTTGCGCTGTCCTTAATATATACCCTTATAAAAGATTTAATGTAACACTAACGGACAAAAAAACTCACCGCAACGTAGAAGTCTTTAATAGCAAGACCGTAGAAGAGCCACGTAATGGCGCTGAGTGTAAGAAACAATGATAGAGAGAAAGGCATAAACTCCACACTCTTTGTTCGGATCACCACTCTCTGCATCATTTATTTTACTTCCACATGTTAAATTATATAATATACGTAAACATAAAGAGAGACTATTACCAGAAAAATAAAAACAAGAAGCTAGAGAGATATTTGTAAGTTTCTTTAAAGTGTATTATATTCTTCATGATCGTACGTACCATGATGCTCAAAGGAGCTGCGAAAACACAAACAGAAAATCCAACGCAAATCCCTCCGAGGACTTTCTCACGGTTCGATCCTTTGGTCAAGAGCTCGCAGACAAGAATGATAGCAGCAAACCCCAAGAAATTCAAGAGACCAAGAACCTTCAAAGTCGATATCTACAGGGTTGTTTATATCATCAGCTAAACTGATTTTTGATATATGAGCATGTTTAGAGAGAAGAAAAGAAATTGTATGATTAAAGCGGTACTCTAGCTTTCTTGTTAGCAAAGGTGATGAAGAGGACGATGTAGATGGTTTCGATGAAGCAACCCACAGAGTTTATGGTGATAAGAAGGAAGCCAGATCCATCTTTCTGCATAGCGTAGTAAATCCATAGCATCGCGCTAAAGAGCGCTGACACGTAGGGAAGCGATTGAAACCCTTCTATCGATTTTTTCTTGCAGATTCTAACAAAAGTTGGCCTTCACGTACATGAAAAATAATATCCAATTATTTTAAAAAATTATCTGATAGAGAGAAAACGAATAAGACAAAAATGGTTTGGGATTGATGATGCTTACACTGGTGCCAAGAAAACGATGAACGATATGATGTTGCCTGCAAGAAATACATATAGCGAAGATAACATGGTTAGAACTTAGAATTGACATGTACCTATCTTAACATGGAGAGTATATAGTATATAAATTTCTAGACACTTACCCATGATTCCAAATGTAAATGCCAATACGTTTAGAGCCATTTTGATTGTTTTGTTGAATGGGCTCTTGAGTATCTTTCTACTTGTGAATGGGGTAATCGAAGAAAAGGAATAGAGATAAAAGAGGAAATCTTCAACTCTTGATAGCTCTAAGTTTTCTTCGATATGAATTTAATTACGAGGCCAGTGGAACACTATATATAGAGAGAGGAAGAGGTAACATGTGTAAGGGTGCCTTGTTAATATGCTGGGACGTCGTCGTTTTCGTGGTAAAAAGAGAGAGAGAGAGAAGAACATCGCATCTTGATGGTCTCAGATATTTCTAAAGTTTTATAAAATGGAAAATATTCGATATTTTTATGTGGTATGCACTCTTGGCGTGTATTATATTTGTTTCAAACTTTTATGCCAAACCTTGGTTTAAATTAGTATCGTAGTCATTTAAGTGAGCTTTCTTTTTCCTTTAAACCAAATAAAATAAATCAGCTTTTCGTATAAGCGTTAAACTTGCCGACAGCAAAGAAATATAAACGTTAAAACATTTTTTCTCTCTTTAGCTTATCATGGAGTTTTTGATGTCAAAAAAGAAAAACATTTTTTCTTTCTCTTTTGGGTAAAGTAGGCCTTAAACCTTTGGCATGACCAATAAAATAAGCCATCGATCGATCGGCTGTTAGCTTTCTAGCCAACCATTCAAATAAATATCGATTTAGCCTATATTAAATTTGATGGTTCTCTTTCATTACTGACTTTATACAAATCTTCTTAATGACCAGTATTGCATGACTCAAACTAGCTAATTTAGTTTAGATATTTTCTTTCCGTACATATATAATTCCGTATAACGTATGAGTATTATGATTTATGAAGTTTGCATGATCAAATATACCATTTAGGCATATTATACTGATATACAGTCTATTATGGTTAGTTCAATAGGCTACGTTAGGACAATTTATTTAGTCATAATAACGAATCCAAGACTGAGCACGATATTGTGCATTTAGAGATGAATGGCTTTTTTTTGTTTTGAATCCTCCAGCGACTAATTTTAAGTTTTCAAAACTGATAGTCAATAATTTTTGAAAATTTAATGCCATCAATTTCTGTGTATGTATACTACAAAGCTGCATGAGTTCATGGTGAAAAAACATTACAGTTTAACTAAGGCTCACATAATGCTATAACTAACGGTCCTAACTATTTTGAAATAGCGGATTTTGATTCGTTCCATCAATTCTCCCATTAATCTTTTGTTTAACTCATTTATCTCGTTTAATTTTCGGTTTATTTGGTTTCCCAATATGGGAAAACAAAACTGGTAGCACAAATTGGGTATGGATTGGATTTTCTGTGTAATTGTATTGTTTTCTTCTGCATTTTCAGTTTAGTACTTTAACAAAAAATATATAGTGTTTCTGATGAAGTATTTATTAGTTTAATTTATTTTTTTGGTATAAAATATTTATTAATTTATGTTAACACTTGAAAGAACATATTTTGCCTTTTTATATTATTAATAAATACTACATTAATTAATATCTCATAAACACATAATAAAATATGTATTCAGTATTTACAATAAAGAATTTGTTCCTGTCCCACTTGAATTTCTAGTTCCCATTCCATCTCCAACCCAAATTGTTACATATCGAAGTATATATATATATATATATATATATATATATATTTTTTTTTTTATAAAGTTTACATGTCGATACCCCATGTTCGCTCCTTTTGTTCCTCGTACCAGTAAAAAAAATGAACGTTTAGGTGTCCGCCACGTGTGGCATATTTTATGTTGTCTTTGAGCACTCTTGAACTTCATGATTTGGCAGCCAAAGTTAGGTCAGTAACTAATTAATTTTATTTTATTAGTTTTTATAACAACAAATAATAATGTGTTGTCTTTGTCCCTGTGATAATGTATATAAACGTATAGAGAAGAAAAGCAAACACTAAAATGTATAAAACAAAGCATAGTGCGTTTCATCTTAGAAGCGACCGTCGCGTGTGCAAACCCTATAGGTAAGATTCACCATCATGCTTCTTGATGTTCCACTTGGCTAATCTAATTATCTACACAAACACTATCGTACCCAACAGCAATTAACTCTTAGATAATATAATATCGAATCAGTCACATTCAACCAGTTAATCTTAAAATTCTTTCTATATATAGAGCACTATAATAAAACATGAATCAAAATCAAAGCATATTTGATGGAGAAGTTGAAACGAAAATATCATAATTTTAATCAACATTACTAGTTTCATTGTGATGCGGGGCTGCCGTCAGGTTTTTACGTATGTGTTTGTAACCCAATATAATTACAAAAGTGTGAAGTTGGTGAAAAAGAGCTTAGTCACGATTTACTTTCATTGTCCTTAGCCATTTCAAGACAAATTTGAATATCATTTGGCGTGATATAGTATATATATATGTCCCATATGTACTGATTAAGGCCACATGGACCACGTCACTATTGCTAAATACGCCCAAAATTAACATGTTTCATGTGAATTTTCATACTCGTAAAAACTGCTATACTTAGTATCATGTAACATCAACATTAATTTGAAAAAATTAATTCAATTCGCTTAATTATGAAACTCAATCAGTGGAAGAAATCATCTTTCGTTTGTGGTAAAAGATTATAAGCTTGTACATAGCATTAGTTCATCACTTAATGAGTTTATATAAAGTTTGAGGAAAGTAAAATGTAAAGCCCTTTAACAAAAAAAAGGAGAAAAGTAAAATGTAACAAAGACACTATCAAAGCAAAAACAGAAAATGTATGGTTGATAGAAAAAGCGTATGAAAAGGATTGACTTATAAAAAAAACCATTTGCATCTTTGATTATTTCCACCTTTCATTTTGGCCTCACTCACTAAACCAGATACAAATTGAGTGATTAAATAATTAGCAATGAAACTTTTTACTTTATGGATCTAGTCTCTGTGGTTCTTCTGCGGTCAAAGGGAGTGGTTCCATCCAACCATGCAGATTCCTTATTAGACGGTTAAAATTCGTTCCCAACCATTCCTCCTCGTCCTGATCAGTACTTTCTTTAGTCTTTTTTTTTTTTTCTTTTTCTCCTATTCGAATTCAAATATTTAACTAAGAGTACTTTAATAAGAGATGTCAGCAAACTAGAGTAGTGAAGGAGAAGAGCATCTGCTTCAATGTTCTATACATAAGCTGTACATCAGAATGAGCGTACACATCTCCGACGTATCAGAATAAAATATGGCACTTTCAAAATATTATACAATCTCAAGAATGTCGATCAATATACTCTTGATATATTCCTTCACGCCAATATTTCGTCGCATTACCAGTAAAATATAGCTCGACGAAAAGAGGTTTAGTGATTGACACATTATAGGATTGGGAAATATAAATCAAGTTAATATGCCTAAACAAGTTGATATAACAAGTCATTAAAAGAACGACAAAGCACCCATACAATGATCAAAGGAATAAAAGATGACCTTGAGACTCATTGCTGACCAAAAATATGAAAACTCAAACATGTTGCATGTTACCCTTAATTCATCGTCCACTCAAAGTGCTTTAACCCTTTAAAGTAGAGTTTTTTTCCACCTTAGCTTTTTCTTCACCCTTGAAATTCAATATATTATCATTGTTATGGGGGAGAGACAGTTTGACTGATTACATATTTTCGCTTCACTTCACTTCACTTGACACCTTCATCTCAATAATATTCAAGAATTTTACATCACCAATGATGAATTTGTCGTGTATTAGGAGGAAGGAGCACTCTTTTTGTTTTATATAGTTAAATGATCATACAGAGAATTTTAGACACTGCTTAGACATTCACTTTAACATATACAAAGGGAGTGATCATGTAGTTAATTCTACATTCTTTACAGAGTGTGAATACTTCTCTGTCTACTTCTGTATTATAAATTAGAGTTTTCACATTCATTTTGAAGAGTCGTCAACGTTATGGTAAGGATATATGCATCAAAGTTATCTCCATTGCGGTTCCTTTATATGTACACTTAAATCAACCTTGGTCAATTTCCTTCCTCTAGTCACTCTTCTCTTAACTTATATCGTAACTCATCCACAATAAAGGTTGTTGATACCATTCTCGCCAAGGGCCAATGTTCATACCAAACCATGCAAAAGGGGAGTCTAAAGACACACAAGTTTCTACCAATTTGAAAATTCATACTTAGTAGTTAGAACCAATCCAAACCTTAAAGATACAAAATAACAGCTCGACTTAAACTTCCAATATGTATCTAGGCATCAAGCTTAATTTTGTATCTTCTCAGCACCACCAGCTAATACTTGGCAGAAAAAAAGTGATAACATGAGATGTGACCAGCTCTGCTTCACAGAAAAAACGGCTCAGTATCCAATATCACCAGGATCACCCATGTACTCAGCGACTTGTGCAAGTTTAACACCAAACATCTCCTTGCTCTCTGCGTCACAAACCACACCAGTTTCTTGATCCAAATCTTTCTCAACAAGGCTCCCATAAACACCCTTATGCCTCCCAGACAGTACCAACACATGCCCTCCTCTCCTGGGCAATGCGGTCTCCAGCAGCTCCTGATCGATCCCTCGAACAACCTCCTTCATCTCATCCATAGTAATATCGCAACTTGTTGGCCCAACCACATCAGTCACCACCGCTTTCTTAAGATACAATCTCCCACCTTTCACATCTTTGCTTATCACTCTCACCTTAATACGACTCCTAAAGCCACGAGGATGCCTTGTCTCTTGTATATTTCTGCTTACAGTCTCTAACTTGAGTGCAATCTGTTTCTCTACTGCGTTTATTCACTGTTCTACATTTCTCCACATTCTTTATCTCCTTGACACCCTTCTTACCCTTAAAGGCTATCTCTTTACTACTCTTAACACTTGGTTTGTCCGGATTCAATTTGAAGCCAAATCCTTGAGTACCAGACCACTTGTTATATTCAACAATCGGAACATCCTCTTTAGCATTGAGACCTATTCCTTGCCCTGGTTTCCATCCATAACCAGCAAGCAAAGCCGCTCCAAAGCCCTCCACAGGAACGCTCTCGAAATCCTCCAAGTCCGGAGCATCAGGGAGCGACTCTAAATCCTTCCTCATGCTTTTCAGTAACATCTCCTCCACATGCTCTGGCTTTGGCTCTGGTTTGTCTTGACGCAGAGTCAGACCGTACGCGATGTTATCGGAGCCATGGGAGGGAATGTCGTCGTCGGCCACAAATTCTAGCGGGAGATTGATGTTCTTCCTGATCACCTTGTCCTTCCATCGGTTCTCGATCGGAGGTATTATGACGTGTCTCGGTTTGGTGTCGGGATCGAATTCCGTCTTGAAAGCTTTGAGATTGGCTTCATCGGAAATTAGTTTAACCCTCGATTTGGGTTTGGGAGGGAGAGAGAGAGAGTTTCATCGTTAATGGTGAATCAAGAGAAGAGAACCGGAATCGAGAGAGAGATAAACAAACAGTTTAATGGGCTTTTATGGGCCCACCATCCCTCACGCAGCTTCACACGTGCCTTTCGTATTTGTATTTCCTTTTTTATTGGTTGTTTCAAATTTATATATTACTTCAGACAAACAGAAAAATGAAAAATCCGTAAATCTTCTTCCGGTTTCATCTTAGGGTCGACAATCTACTCTAAGAATTTGTGTTGTCCTCTCTCCATTATCACAGTAAATCTTCTCCGCTCTGTAAGTTTTAGTTTCAGTCGCAGCAGAAAACTAAACTTACATCTTCATTAGAGTAGATATTCTCGGTGGTAAATACACACAAAGCTGAAAAAGCTCAATTTCTTTTGGCTTTTTTCTAAGCTTGATAAAACAATTTAATAGTGATTCGAAAATAAAATACTTGATTATTCTACTAGTAGCGATCCCAAAGGCAAAGAGAATGGCGGGAGAGAGCTTGAGGTCGTGGGTTTCGGACAAATTGATGGTGGTGTTAGGCTATTCGCAACCTGCTGTTGTTGACTATCTCATTGCTATGGGTAAGTACTAAGTAGTCACTCACTGTTGATTTATAGACCTTATTATGATTTCGTATTTGACGGATTGTGGTGTTTTTTTCGAGATGCAGCGAAAAGCTCAAGATCACCTTCTGAGCTAGTCTCTGAGCTGCTGGATTGCGGGTTTTCATCCGATGATGCTCTTGCTTTTTCACAAGACCTTTGTGCAAGGCTTCCTCGCAAAGCTGCTGATTTTCATGTGAGTTATTTACGTGAAAAAAAAACTCGAATCTTCTTCTTGGCTTGGCTCATGTTTTTCTTTTTTTGGTTTTCTCAACTCTATCGGATTTAGCAGGAAGATGAAGACGAGGCTGCAAGACTAGCAAAGAAGCAAAAGACATACATGCTCATACATGCAGATGTTGATCAAGTCACTGTGGAGAACAAATCTTCTGAGTCTAGAAAGCCTGACAGAGGTAATAAAAATTTCAGGAGAAAAACTGTGAATTCAGAAGATGAAGATAACGAGGTATAGTCTTCTCTCCTCAATCCTCATCCATCACTACTTCCCTTTCTTTTTTATTAATGTTATGTTTTTCTTACTGTAAACGACAATGCAGATGGATGTTAGAGAAGACGATAGTCGTGTATCCCAGGAGGATGGATCAGAGGTATGTCTGATGATATTGATACGTGTAGAAACTAGCTAGTGTTCTGTATCCATTGACTAGGAGACTATTTCATACACCTCTCTGTGTGTTTTATATTATGTGGATAACACCTGTGCTCTCATTACATCTGATTCTTGGTCTATTTCTCTTTTTTTTTTTCCACCAGTGGGAAGAGGATAGATTGCAAGACCAGAGGGAGAAAGAGGAGCTGGAACGACATATCAGACAACATGATACCACGCAGACTCGAAAGGTATGCTGTAATTTGATTGTTGGGATGCTTTTCCTGATAATCTGCTATATATAAATACATTTTGTTGTTATACACTACATCTTGGTCAATGTTGAGTGTTTAAGTGGATATGATTAACTTGTAGTTGTATTCTTCCACGTGACACTTCCTTTATCCAATATGCAGGTATCGGAGCCCAGCATGTCGAGAAAAGAGAAAGGTACAGCCTGTTATAGGCTTATGGCCCATGCATGAACACTGCTCAACAATATATCTTTCTTGTCTTCAAAATATTGTTTGTTCGTATGGTTTCATCTCACAAACTTCTCCACTGCCTTACAGAAGAGGCTGTTCGAAGAGCCAATGCTTTGGAAAGGAGTGACATTGCATCATTAAGGTGCTCGTCGTGTTTCTTTGTGGTACTCCTATTATTTAATATGATGTATTTTGAGACTGTTTTACTAAGTATTTTAGTTTGGTTTGATTCAGGAAAACCTCAAGACAAGAATATTTGAAGAAAAGGGAACAACAAAAACTGGAAGAACTGAAGTACATGGCTTTTCTCTTCCTTTTTCTCCTGAGAAACTGTTATTTCAGTTAGATTTTGTTTTCTTTTACTAATACTCTCTGTTTTAGTCATTGACTTTCCCAATTTCCACTGGTTCTGCGTAGGGATGAGATAGCAGATGAGCAATATCTTTTCGGAAGTGAAAAGCTCACACAGAAAGAAACTGACGAGTTTAGGTAATTGCCATATCTTTCATCCACCACTGTTCTTGTTGATAAATTAGTTGTGCACTTATGCCTGACTTTAATGATGCTAATTGAGCTTGTCCCGGTCTGATATCTTGACAGACACAAGAAGGAGCTTTACGATCGTGTGATCAAAAGAACACCTGAAGATGATAATGCTGATGAGGTAATGTTTTTACGTCTTCTAGGGTCATTTCTTGTTCTTCATTTAACACTTGTCTCTATTTTTTTTCCAACTCGTCTGGAGTTCAGTATGTTATGCCAAATGCTTATGATCAAGATAGAGGCGTTGACCAGGAGAAGAGATTTTCTGTTGCTGCACATCGATATAAGTGAGTTGTCAAAGATTGCATCGCTACTAATCCATCATGTTCTAATCTGATTACATTTGCGAGATCATTCGTTTTTTCTTTTCCTTTGCTAAAATATTTTGTTTTGACAAGGGACATGGATTCGAGGAAAAAAATGAACCCCTTTGCTGAGCAAGAAGCTTGGGAGGATAATCAGATTGGTAAGTTTATATTTTGACGCTTCTATTATAATTGTTTTCAGTGTATGGTGGTATTGAAATGACATGATGATGCAGGAAAAGCAACATTGAAATTTGGTGCAAAGAACAAGCAAGCCTCTGATGATTATCAGTAAGATTTTTGACTCGTTTAACAAATGGTCCTTGTTAGCTTTCACCAAGGATCCAGGGGATAAATTTCAGGGTTAACTATTTCTCTTTTCTCTTCACAGGTTTGTATTCGAGAACCAAATAGACTTCATAAAGGCATCTGTGTTGGCCGGTGAAAATGTAATCCTTTTGATTTTCATTCATCCAAACTTATGCTTCTATCATATGTTGAGCTGTGACTCAATTCTTGTTTTTAATTCTTATGCAGTGTGAAGATGAGATGCTTCCAGTAGCAGGTCAAACTAATTCGACAAAGTCAGCTTTTGAGATGCTTCAGGTGCCAAGCTTTTTTTTGTTTGTGAATGTTTTTCTCCGCTTATTCTCCTCAACCAGTTTAGTTCGTCTGAATTTGCATGTTCCCTTATATATTTGCATTTCTCTGTCTAAATCAGGAGGACAGGAAAAATCTGCCAATCTATCCATATCGTGATGAACTGCTTAAGGCTATTGAAGATCATCAGGTGATTTTTTTTTGCCTTTTTGTTGGATTGGTAACTAAAATGCTTAAAATTTGAAGGAATTTTGCTATCTTCAAAAGTATCGTATGGCAAAAGAGTCAATTCCGTACGCATTACAGACTTCTATTCGATATAGCACTTGAATATAGATATTAGCAAAGAAGATGTTTTAATAAAAGAACTTCCCATCAAAAGTCATATTTTAGAAATTATTTTATGTTCTGTTTGTATCTTTCTCTGTTTCATACGACTGATTTCCATATCTTATCGTTTAATTGATCAGGTTCTTGTCATTGTGGGGGAAACTGGTTCAGGAAAGACTACACAAATACCACAATATCTTCACGAAGCTGGTTACACCAAACATGGGAAGGTACAACCTACAACTTAACCTGAATTTATTGCATACAGTGAAATGCATTTATACATAAACACTGAACTTTTACTGTAAGAAATTGTATGTGCCCTCTTCTTTTCTATTTGATCACAACTCACAAGCAAGCAACTATAGTAGGATTTAGGACAAACATCATTTTTGTATGACCTACAAGGTTGAAACATGTAGAGCTTTTTAGCTTTTATTAAGCAAATCAGAATAATCTTCTTGCAGGTTGGCTGTACGCAGCCTCGAAGGATCGCAGCTATGAGTGTAGCTACGCGTGTTGCTCATGAGATGGGTGTCAAACTCGGTCACGACGTATGCTAACTTTCTTTTACTATTCAACTATTTTAAGTTTCTTGCAATTGTGCACCATCTCCTAATTTGGTTTAAATATGTAAATCACAGGTTGGATATTCTGTTCGATTCGAGGATTGTACTTCAGAGAAAACGGTCCTCAAGTATATGACTGATGGAATGTTGTTGCGTGAGCTACTTGGGGAACCAGATCTGGCCAGTTACAGGTAATTATTTAACACTCCTTTCCAAATTCAATATTATTGGACATAAAAGAATACACATCTTCTCACTGTTTACCAATCTTTCCAGCGTCATTATTGTGGATGAGGCGCATGAAAGAACTCTGTCAACGGACATTCTATTTGGATTAGTCAAGGCAAGTGCAACTTTTAAACAAAGTTTCTCTTTTGCCCTTCCTTGTGTGGAAAGTTTTAAACAAAGTTTTATCTTCGGTTTCTTGATATAAAACAGGATATGGCACGGCTTCGACCAGAGCTGAAGTTATTGATATCCAGTGCAACAATGGATGCAGAGAAATTCTCTAATTACTTTGACGCTGCCCCAATCTTTAAATTCCCTGGAAGAAGGTATCCTGTTGACATCAGCTTCTTACCTGCACCTGAAGCTGATTACATGGATGCAGCAATAGTGACTGTTCTTCAGATACACGTAAGCGAGCCGCTTGGAGATATATTGGTCTTCCTCCCCGGCCAAGAGGAGATTGAAAATGTAGAAGAGACTTTGAAGAGCAAGATAAGAGGTTTTGGTACAAAGATCCGTGAGCTCATTATATGCCCTATCTATGCAAACCTTCCGAGCGAGGTCCAGGCAAAAGTATTTGAACCAACACCTGAAGGTGCTCGTAAAGTAGTCCTAGCAACCAACATTGCTGAAACGTCACTTACCATTGATGGTATCAAGTACGTTGTGGATCCAGGCTTTTGCAAGATCAAGTCGTATAACCCGAGAAATGGGATTGAGTCTTTGCTTGTAACTCCAATCTCCAAGGCCTCTGCGACGCAGCGGTCTGGCCGAGCTGGAAGAACAGGCCCGGGGAAGTGTTTTCGGCTGTACACAGCTTTTAATTACCAGAATGACATGGAGGACAATACAGTGCCAGAGATACAAAGGACGAATCTTGCTAGTGTTGTCCTTGCTTTGAAGAGTCTTGCAATTGATGATCTGTTGCACTTTGATTTCATGGACCCTCCTCCTGCGGAAGCTCTCGTCAAGGCTTTGGAACTGCTGTTTGCTCTAGGTGCTCTGAATAAACTAGGTGAGCTGACAAAAGTTGGGAGAAAGATGGCTGAGTTTCCACTTGATCCCATGTTGTCAAAGATGATTGTTGCTTCAGAGAAATACATGTGCTCTGATGAGATCATCTCTATTGCTGCAATGTTGTCTGTGGGAAGTTCTATCTTCTACCGTCCCAAGGATAAGCAAGTTCATGCTGACAATGCTAGGATGAATTTCCACACCGGAGACGTCGGAGATCACATTGCGTTGCTAAAGATTTATAGTTCTTGGAAAGAAACAAACTACTCGACTCAGTGGTGCTACGAGAACTACATTCAGGTATGTATATTGCCTTACCCTTACCAACCAATCCAGTCTCTTATTATTGTGCTGCTGTGTTGAATGTATATCCATTTGACACATAAATTTTTTAAAGGTGAGGAGCATGAAAAGAGCAAGAGACATCCGTGACCAATTGGAGAGACTTCTTGAGAGAGTGGAAATAAAAGTTACTACTAACTTAAATGACTTGGATTCAGTAAGGAAGTCCATCGTAGCAGGTGATCAATTTGCTAACTCAGTTTTTTGTTTATCTAATAACACATTATTTTTGTTTGCTAACGAGTTGTATTGTATCTATCTAATCTTTAATGATCAGGTTTTTGCGCACATAGTGCTAAGCTAGAGAAGAACGGATCATATCGAACTGCAAAGCATCCTTTGACAGTGCATATATATCCAAGCTCAGGCTTATCTAAAGTAAGTCCACAAAACCAACTTCATTATTGTGAATTATCTATCTATGGATGGATAGATTCTTAATAGTGTGTTCCTTCCTTGTCTATTAGGTTCTACCGAGATGGGTTGTGTACCATGAACACGTCCTTACCTCTAAGGAATATATGCGACAGGTATATTTTCCACGTCTTGAATCATTTGGAGTCTACTATTTTGTGTGCATATGCTGATTTTTATTTTTGTTAAATTGAAAATGTAGGTAACCGAGCTAAAACCAAACTGGCTGGTTGAGATAGCTCCTCACTACTATCAGCTTAAGGATGTTGAAGATGGTATAATATAATTTTTTTTTCTTTTTTTTTGTTCCTTTTTGTATTACTATATTTTTTATTCAACATCCTTTCACATATTAATGGTTTAAACATGTTTCAGGTGCATCAAAGAAATTGCCTTCAGCAATTGGACGAACTCCAGCGTAGACATGTAGTTATCAAAAACTGAAGATGTTTAATATGTTCACGACTCTAACTATATGTGATATGCTCTACTTTGATAAGATTATTTTTGGCAAATGTAACGTATCTCCTAGAAACTCATCTAATTGTATCATTCAAGAATAGCTCCTCGGCTCAATATATCGCCTCCTTGGTTAGCTTTTAATCTTTTAATAGTAACAGTTTCTGTTTTGAGTTCGTATAATCTAAAACAGTGACATATTTCTTAAGATAGAGCCATAGAGGACAAGGAAACCTTGAGGTTATCTATTCTTCCATGCCATTTGTAGTCTTGTAGATCTTTTTTTTTTTCATACTTATGGAGAAAACAAGACTGGTTCATTAAACCGGCACTTTCCTACATGAAACCGAAATTTGGGTCAACGAGGAAACACGACGGAATGATGGAGAAAATGCCGGCACCTACTAACTCTTGTAAGCAGAGACTTTGACAAGTATAGTGGTTGGATATTATAAATTTTCATTAAATTCAAACAAGGCATGCAAATTGCATAAATAATGTATGCAAAATGTCAAAAGAGAGGGCTGCGAGCGAGAGAGAGAGAGAGCGCGTGGTCAGCACGAAGAAGAAGCAGGTAAGAAAGTCTCAACAGCTAGGCTAAATTTTTCTTTGCTCATAAAAATCAAACAACCATCTTCTCCACGTTAATACAACACCTAACCTCCCATCCACCTTTTCTAATTCCTATCCTTTCTCTCTCCTTTAAGCTTCTTTTTGGTTTTCTCTTTCTAATTCTTCTTTCCATTTCAAGGGGGAATTGTATCGTTCCTCACACACGCCTCTCATCCGATTTTGTCTTCCCATTTCTTATCCGTAAGTTTTGTTTCTCCCTCTCTGTACCCAATTTGGTTTTCTGTCATTTCCCATTGATTGTATATTATCTTTGCTAGATCTGAGCTAGGCTTAGTCGTTCTAGAGACTCATCGAGCTCTTTTGATCACCGTCGCTGGAGTTACTGCTCTTAGGCTCTCATAGCTTTTTACTGATTTTTGTAATTTGAATCCGAGTCTATTCATGCCGACCACACGATTGCTTTCATTTTGGGTTTGTTCCATTTCTTCCTAATTTTTGTGGGTTAATTTGTTTTTGCTTGCTTGTGAACAATCGGAGAAGTTTCTGTGTGGCTCTCCTTAGAATAGATGGACTCAAGTGTGATTTCTTTTCATTCAAACGTCTCGATTATATGCTAATGGTTTCCAATTTATCAACTTTCGGTTCTAAAATCTGGATTCTGGAAAAAGTTTTTGGTAAAGCTTGGAGGTTTCTCTTTCAGCATCTAAGTATCCTCCATAAAAATTGATACTTGGCGTACAACCAATTGTGTGGACACATTTCTAAAATTGCAGCATCGAATTATTCTAGCTGCTATTTTCATCATAGCAAGCTTTGTTTGTGAGGAGACATTTCTTATGACTCCTTTGTTTGTTGTTGCTTTTCAGATTCTTATCCTTCTTCACCACAAGAAGAATGGATCATTGTTCCAACGAAAACCCCATGGCTTCTCAGTTAGACATTCTCCGATGCCCTTTCTTGAGGAACATCAATGAGCCCACCAATCTCTCCTTCTCTTCATCCTTGCCTTTTCCCATGCCTGTAAGTCACCATTGCTCTATTGACTTCTCTTGCAGTGAGTCACTTCTTCATCTTGTCTCATCATATGTTTTTAACTGACTTGTGGTGATGACTTATAAATCCATTCAGGTACGAGCAGGAAAAGGACCAATTTTTGAAGATGGGCCCAATTTTGATACGGCATTTAGGCTCTTCCATGGTCAAGACGGAGTCGTCCCGCTCTCCAACAGCCCTCGAGCTGAAGCGGACAAGCCTGTGCTCTCCTCTCCTGTGTTCCATCCTCTTGCTGCTAAGGCGGCCACAATCAGTCTCTCTTCCTTTGGAGCTGGAGGGCCTTTTGGGTTTGATGCTTTCTCTGAGATGTTCAAAAACCAAAAGAAGAAGTCAAACTCATCCAAGAAGAAGGATTCTTCTTCCAAGGTAAAGACTTTATGCACTTCTTGCTTAACATGTTGTTTCTTCTCATGGTTAAAGAAATGTGTCTTAAGGAAGTAGTTACTGAATCATGCAATGTGTTGGCTTGTGAGATCAAAGCTCATGATATACACTTCTTGGTGCATTAGTTAAAGAAATAGTCAAGCTTTCAAAGAAGACTGAAACATGCATTGTGTTGGCTTATGAGATCAAAACTCATGATATACATTTCCTCTGTTTTTTTTCTTTCTCTTTTTCAGGGAGGAAATCATGAATCTATGAGCGATGATTGGCTTCAAACAGGAAACTGCCCGATTGCAAAGTCATATCGAGCTGTGAGTGGTGTGGCGCCGCTTGTGGCAAAGATGATGCAACTCCCTCCAGGGATGCAGTACAAGTGTCCTCCAGCAATAGTCGCAGCTCGTGCAGCGATATCAAAGACGGCTTTCGCCAAGAACCTCCGTCCACAGCCTCTATCATCCAAAGTGCTAGTGATAGGGATGCTTGGCATGGCGCTGAACGTGCCTCTAGGGGTTTGGAGAGAGCACACCGAGAAGTTTTCAGCGTCTTGGTTTGTAGCTCTTCACGCAGCGGTTCCGTTCATAGGAATACTGAGGAAGTCGGTGTTGATGCCTAAGATGGCGATGGTGTTCACTATAGCAGCGTCGGTTTTGGGACAGGTGATTGGGTCGAGAGCAGAGAGGTTTAGGCTCAAGTCCTTAGCTCAGAAGAAGCTGACATTGACGGGGACAAATACGTCGTCCGTGGAAGCAAATGAGATGGAGTTTGTTGCCGGAGTTTCGTCGGATGGAAGGTGCGGTGATAAAGTGGTGATGAAGTGGAATCCTATGTTGCTTGATGTTGCAAGCCCTGTGTCTGCAGGAGCAGCTAGTGTTGTCTGCTAAAAGATTTTGTTATTCTTCCAAGATCTCTCTTATATATGTAACTGTGTTTTCTTCTTGTATTTAAAAAAATGTTTCCTGAGTGTTTGGGAAAAAACAAGAATAAAGCCATTTTTTTCGAACAATTGTTCATTGTAAAAGACTCGATTGATTGAATAAGAAAAAGAAGTTGGAGATACAGGTTTGGTGTTTCTGCATCTCATAAGTAACATTGGATTTTAGATGTGATCATATGAACAATTTTATTGATTGCAAACTTGTGTATAGGCAAATGGTAGAGTTTCGACTAATATTTTCATTATTTTGTTTGTAGAGCCTTTCTTTATACCAAATGTTTTCATTACGTTTACTCCATTACCAAATTACCATAATGTAAACAGAAAAAAATATTTCATGTGGCTTGACCGTATGCAATGATGCCGACTTTATTTGTGCTTAGCAAATTCGATATTCTATGTACTTCACGATACTAAATTTACTTCGTACACGGAAACAAAAAGGTGTGTCGCAATTGGAACAAAAACAAATTATATGTTCGAATGTATATCACATGATTTTGAGACGCTCTCACAATTTCTGACAAGTCCCCTTGGTATCAACTTTGTTTTCAGAAAGTTGAGTTTGTTTCTTTTCCGAAAACTAATATTGTAAGAGAATAATTAAACTATACATGAAATTATGAAAATGATAATGATAAAGCTATATATTTTAAGATAAGCTCAGGGTGATTTTGATTTGGTTTAAGGTTTTAACGAAACGTTTAACTAAAAATCTAAAACATTGGTTTGGTTTTTCAGGTTGGGTTGATGCAAGAAATACATCCTCTCATATGGTAGAAAATCAATACTACTATTATATGAAGAAGATAAGAATATCCAGTTGTTTTAAAAAAAAAAAGAAGATATGTAATATTTCTTACCACTTTCATATAACAATCCATAAACATTTATGCTCAAAATAAAATATAATAGCTTGAAAAAATTGAAAAAAAAAAAGAATTTGTGAGCTTTGAGTACCATAAGAGAAATGTTTAACAGATATTACCTTGATTAATTATCTAAAAAGTTGTTTTTAGAAGAGAATAAAAAAACAACAAATACTTATCAAAAACAGAAAGAAAAAAACAGTAAATACTACAAAAATAAATAAAGCACGTGTATATAACTATATATACAAAGATTTGTTACCAAATTCAAAGTATTCAAACAGAAAGTACCCATCTGCTTAGGCAGAAGATTCGATCATCCCACGTCTTCTAATATCCTGTTTTGCGATCTCACCCACAAGTTGATTCCTATAAAATCTCTTCCCCTCTCTCTCTCTCTCTTCTTTTCCTCATAACAAAAAACAAAAATCTCTTCTTTTCCAGCCCATTTCTCTTCTTTTTCTCTTGTCCTCGTGGAGCTTTGAGATCTAAAATTACACCACAACAACAACAACAACAATACCTTTGTCTTATTTGCTCTTTCTCTTCTTATATTTGAAACAACTAATAAGGAACGTAAAGCTTGAATCTAAATAACAATGGATGAAGGGAGAAGAACACCGTTATTGAATCTTGGGGTTCAAGTGTCGATGAGAGTGTTAGTCATCGGCACTGCATTGACGTCGATGGGGCTCATGATCACTAACCACGAAGTCGCCTCGGTTTATGGCATTTCTTTTGACGCTAAATACAGTTACTCGGCTGCCTTTAGGTATACATATTTTTATTTAATTCTCACTTTTTATCACCAGCTTACATCTTATTTTATACTAACGAACAAACAAAAGATCTAATGATTTGAAAAAAAAAAATGATGGATCAAAGCAGTTTGTGTATTGATGAAATTTCACCATTATCGATCGTTTATAAGTATGAAAAAGTATATTCACACGTTCCGGTGAAAAAAGAATGTAAAGATCATGAACAAATTTAAAGGAGAAATATCCTTGATGTAGGAGAATATGTGATATAAAATCATTCTTTAAATTTTCATGTTTCATTCATCCATATTTCATCGACTAATCTCATGTTTAATATAGTGATGATGATCGGTGATATGAAAGTGTGTATGGTGTGATGTTTTTGACAGGTATTTGGTGTACGCAAAGATAGCTATATCCGTCACGACATTGGTTACGCTTGTATGGGCTTGTTTAGCAGTTCGTAGAGCAGGACTTGTTTTTGTGCTCTTCTTCTTAGATTTGGTAATTATTCTCCACTTTAATTTCAATCTGAATATTTTTTTATTTTGAATTAGCGTCTTGATGTGGATTATATATATGAACGTTTTGAGATGGTTTTGACATATTAATGTTACAGCTTATGACGTTGACGGCGATGTCGGCTTTCTCGGCGTCCATGACGGAGGGTATGACCGGAAAGTACGGAAATACACACGCCGGTTGGCTTCCGATCTGCGGTTATGTCCATCGTTACTGCAATCGTGTCACTCTCTCACTCGCTATGTCATTCGCCTCTTTTGTCCTCTTGTTCATCCTTTTACTCTTAACTGTCTCCAAGGCCTTCGCTGCTCTTCGTCATCATTTCTGATTTTGTTTTTCGTTTTTTTGCATTTAATACTATACAGATGCTTAAACCCGGCCTTTAAGATTTTTCGATCATTCTCTAATACTTAGACGTCTTAAAGTGAAATATTTGGTTTGATCTTACAGAAAGAAACTGAAGAAGAGTGCATGATTTGTTTGTCTTTGTCCCATGGTGATATTGTACTGAAATGTAATTATCAGTGTAGCTTCTATCATTAAAATATGTTTGTTTGGATTATTTTATCCGAAATATTTAAAAAGCTAAATTATTGGATTTACAGGGACATGCATGATTTTTCTATATCCTCATAAAATTAGATCATAAACAGGATCTGCTTTCACGATTAAAACCATATCATGGTGTTTTGATAAACAAGCTCTTGAGAAAAGTTCCTCGAATAAGGCTGCGTTCAATATATGATGCAAATAGGAATGATATGCCAACATATTCAATCAACTAATGTTATGCCAACGCTAAACTAAGTTACTGTATTTGAGAATGATATTGCACGTGCTTTTTCCGATGTAGAAAGAATATATCAAGAGAAACAAAGCCAAATGTTGCGAGTTGTCCTATTGGGACAACTTTGTGCATCTACGTTTTGAGTTTTGACCATGTTTAGCCAACAAGTTCATTAAACAAGAACATACGATAGAAACACATGCAAAAATTTGTTAGTCTAGTCACTGAAGTGAAGAGTGGGAAAAACTTACGTGGTAGTCATTTTTCATTACCGTAATTTAATATTATTTGTCATATAGTTTTCTAGATAAATTTTGAGAGAACAAAAGATATATCGCAAATCATCGATGTCACAAATAAGTAGTCGGCACTAAGATGGGCCTGTCGTAATTGCAAGTGACCATTTTAATGTGGGACCTATGCTGAAGATAGGCCTGAATCTCCAAGAACAAATCACGGCCACAAAACAAAAGAATCGTGCTTGCGTCTCATAAAAACGATGCCGTATCAGAGTATCCTCTTATTCTACAGCAAAAAGATTTTTTCTTCTTTTATGAGATTACATCTTATCCAAATTTGAGTTTGCAAATAAGAGAAGCCATTTTTTCTGTCTCTGAGCTGTGTGAATATTGAGATTCATCTCTTCAATGGCTTCCCTATCTACCACTTCTCTAAGCTTCAAAGCTCCTTCCATACAATCCACCAGAATTTCTCAGGTAACTCCATACATAGTTTTACATACATACATCTCTTGTTAGCCACTATATGAATCTGAATTGTTTATGTTTTCGTAGTTCTTAACATTCCACTTAGTTATAGTTCATTAACCGCATCTAGAGATTCGATTTGAAGGTTTATTTTTCTAGTAAATGTTCAAAAACAACCAATGATATAACGCATTTAGCTTCGAACACTGTTTAAACATCAGGTTTTGAGGACACCTTCGTGTTTTCAATCTATCGCCTTTGGTCGTTTCCGGTCTTCAAAGAGCCTTCGTCTTCAAATCAGCTGTGCGGTAATAATTAGTAAAATAGATTTTTTCTTTATTGAAGCTAAAATTAAATTAAAATGAGCAATGCAATTATACAAGTTAATTGTAACGCTACAGGCAAAACCAGAGACGGTGCAGAAAGTGAAAGACATTGTAAAGGAACAACTGGCTTTGTCCGCTGACACTGCCCTCACTGGCGAGTCCAAATTCTCTGATCTTGGCGCCGATTCTCTCGACACCGTATGTCTTACGTACACTAATATCTCTGTTTCGTATTTATGTGGTTATGTTTTAAGTTTAAGCCAAATTAATTTATTTTGTGCTATATTGATGTAGGTGGAGATAGTGATGGCTTTGGAGGAAAAGTTTAACATAAGTGTGGAGGAAGCTGATGCTCAGAACATTACGACGATTCAAGCGGCGGCTGATTTGATTGATGACCTTGTTCTGAAGAAACCTGCTGCCGAAGCTTCTTAAACTCTCCCGGTTCAACACATGAACCGGCTGTCCTTTTTTCTTTCTGACCTTTCTTGGTTTCAGAGCATTTTGTTTTGGTATGTTAGACCGTTTGTTATTTTTCTCTTGTTTGGCTTTTCTTGGAAGCTAAGATTGGATGTTGAAGATGAGACAACTTTGGTAGGTTGAGACTGATTCTTTGTGGTGATTATTGGTCTTTAATGACGAACATATAAATGTGTTTTGTGTCACTACCACCGAGATTTATGAGCTTTTCTATCCAAGTTCCAACTATGACATCGCTTTGTTAATTCGTGGATAAGCTTAGATTGGATCAACTATCAAATTAGCGTAAATCTTGTTGATGTCTTTATTTCTTGAATGGTATAAAAGAGCTTAATATCGTTTTATTTGATAAGCTAGAGCCTAGATGTTTATAAGAAAACAAACCATCTTACAACAAATATTCAAGCCCCTAGTAACGAACTAAACTTTTTGCTATGAGGCAATGTTCTTAGATATCATCAAATTGATTGTCACTGTAACTTTATCTTATTTAACATACTACAAGTGTATGAAAATGAAACGTATTATTTGAATATGAGAATTTTAAAATGTGTTTTGCTGAGTGGGAAAAAACAAAAATAAAACTGGTCCCACGTTCTCTCGACTTCCTCTCCCGCCACGATTCGGTCCACGCCTACTGCGTTTACAGATTCTCCAAAGTTCATAGTTTCTGCCTCAAATCAAACTAAAATCCTTCCCACCTTGTTGACTCCGTCTCCTAAATTACATTTCTCCTAAATTTGTTGACCCAAAATCTCTCTAACCTCTCTCTATTTTTTTTTTTTTTTTTTGGTAAAATCTAACCTCTCTCTATCTCCATGTTTGTATAGAGTATATTAGTTGATTGATTGCTGTACATATATACGCGCTTCTGTATAACCGGAAAATATGGCACGGAGGCGGTGGGAGGCGTCGGATGGTGGCGGACCAGGAAGCTCGGCTACTTCTTCACCGGCAATGTCTCCGTCGCATCGGATGAACAACGGAGGAGCACTGAATGGCAGAAGCACGCTCCGGAAGCAAAACGCCGCCGAGCTGCTCGCCAAGGTTATGGAGAAGCGCGATCACGACTATGATTACGACGATGAAGACGGAGGCGAAGATCTGTACCAGGTACAACTACCGCCTATCGCTAAGCCTCGAAGACGAGATGATAACCGTGTCGGTAAGGGTCCGGTCAACGGGAGACAGGCTCCGGCGGGAAGGCGGGTCGTAGTCCCGCCTAAATTTGATGATGAATCTGACGGTGATGAAATTCCAGATTTGCCCCGGAATCCAGTGAGGATTCCTGAGAAGAATGTTAGGGGTACGAAAAATGCTCCGGCGGCGGCAAGACGGGTCGTAGTTCCGCCTAAATTTGATGATGAAATCGACGATGATGAAATTCCAGATTTGCCCCGGAATCCAGTGAAGATTCCTGATAAGAATGTTAGGGGTGCGAAAAATGCTCCGGCGGCGAGACAGATCGTACCTCCGCCTAAGTTTGATGATGAATCCGACGGTGATGAAATACCAGACGATTTACCCAGGTATCCACTGAAGATTCCTGAAAAAAATGTTAGGGGAGCGAAAAATGCTCCGGCGGCGAGACAGATCGTTCCTCCGCCTAAATTTGACGATGAAGAAATGACAGCCGATGTGCCCCAGAATCAAGTGAAGGTTCCTGAAAAGACTGTCAAGGATCCGAATGAAGCTCCGGCGGTGAAACCCGTCGCTCTTCCGCCGCCTAAGTTTGACGATGAACTTGAACTCGAAGGTGACGAAATTGCAGCCGTTGTGCCCCAGAGACCAGTGGAGATTCCTCAAAAGTATGCTGGGAGTACACTCAGGGTTAGAGTTCCGGCAGATTCGCGTCGGAATCCGATCGATGAGTTTGAGCAGAGCGGAAACGGGAAGCTTAATGGAAACAATGTTTTGGTTAAAATCTTGATCTTTCATTTGAAACTAAACTCATTAAAATTGCAGTTAGATATGCTTCAAGAAGAAAACGATAATATACTAGAAAAGGTCAGTGTGACCTCTCTCTGTCTCTAAGATTGTTCATTTGTTTGTGTTTGCTACTTGATGTGTATATTCTTGAGTTATATGTGCAGCTTCAACGCGCGGAAGAAAGACGTGAAGCAGCAGAAGCAAGGGCTAAAGAGCTCGAGAAACAGGTGTTTATGATATCCAGTACAATTGACTTTTGTAGACATGCGACGTTTATATACAATGTTGATGGTTACTTTTTAAGCTTGGTGTGACTTGTAACAGGTTGCTTCTCTTGGTGAAGGAGCAAATTTTGATGTCAAGCTCTTGAAGAGGTTTGCTTTTCTTGTCTTTATTATATAGCCTTCATTCACAAAACTTTGTTATTCACCAAGTTCAACGCTGATCCCCTTCAGGAAAGAAGCAGCATTGCGTCAAAGAGAGGTCCGTATTGCATTTCACATGCTTCATTTGTTCTATGCAATATGCATGTCCTTTATGTCTTCTGCTAGCTTGTGTTGCATTTGTTCTCGACAGTAAAATTACTGAAAGGGATAACATAAATCTATTGCAGGCAGCATTAAGGGCTGCTGAACAGAAACGAGATGGAAGACACAGGGAAACTGATGCCTATCGTTCAGAGTTTCAGGTACAATGCTCTGGCAAAAGTCTAATCAAAGTGGTATCAAACGTTAAAATGTGCTCTAGACTTTATTATATAAACCTTTCAACTTGACAAGGAAACGATCATCTCTTCTGTGCTGTGTTTATGATCAGAGCTTGAAAGATGAAGCAGAGAAGGCCGTGGAACAGCTCCAGGAGGTTGAGGCTGAAACAAAGTCTCTTCGGACATTGGTACATAGAACGATTTTGACTCAGGAAGAAATGGTTTGTTCACCAACTAAACTAGAATTTTGTGCATTCACCGTTTAACCCCACCATCTTTGTTTGATTTAACTATATCACTGACACCTCGTAGGAGGAAGTTGTTCTGAAGAGATGCTGGCTTGCTCGCTACTGGGAACTTGCCGTTCAACATGGTACGAAAACTCCTTTCTCCATAACCATTCTCTTTTTGGGTATTGACCTGCAATGCTTTGTAAGATGAAGTAACATGATTAGAGAATATGTTTTCCATTTTCTCAGTGTACTTGTTCGTTACATTGTATACTGACATGGAGTAGCTGATCAATGATCTCACTGTAGACTTAACGAGTGGGCGTTGGTCAACAATATTACTTGCAAAATCCTCATTTGCTAATTTTTACTTATGCATCTAATTGGATCACTCTTAGGAATATGCGAGGATATGTCCACATCAAGATATGAACATTGGTCAGCTTTAGCTCCTCTTCCCTTGGAAGTTGTCCTTTCCGCTGCCCAAAAGCCTGAAGACTCCTTTCAAACAGGTCTGGTTTCTCAATCTTCCCCACCAAAAAAATCTCACAAAACTTAACTGGTAACACATCGTATCTGGCAGGTGGTAGCGATCGCACTTGGACCAAAATTGTCAGTAATTTCAGTGATGCAAACGGAGACGGAAACATAGAGAGTATGCTTGCTGTTGAAACAGGTTTGCGAGAGATAGCATCCTTAAAGGTAAAAATACAAAAACATGCCTATATTCTGATCTGAATTTGATGTTTTTAAAGTAAATAAACATCTCATGCATATGATTTCCCGCGCTTCATAGGTCGAGGATGCTTTAATGCAACTATTTGCCCGGTATAGACAAAAAAATATGGTCCGACAAACCGAAACTGGTAAAATCTATCTAAAAAATGATTGCCACATACATATGTGAATGTTATACGACAGACACTCATTTGATTTTAACATCCAGATCCCAGGGGGCAAGGGGATCCTAAGTTATCCGACGCATTTGGTGAGTAGCCTTCTTGAAACTGTTTTCCTAACTATCTACACGGAGTATACATCTCATATAAGTGAATAAGCCTCTTAGTAGAAATTTCTTCTTTGTGGTGCTTCATCTGTATTACACATAAATCTTATTGTGCAACAAGAAGTGCTTATTGATGATGGTTCCTCTGACTTTTTAAATGCAGAGTTGAGTCACGATGAGCAACAAGATATTCTCTTTAAAGAGGTAATCATTTTTACCGGCAGAGGCTTTTACTTATATTCATTGAATCATTGACTCAAAACACACATGAAAAATGTTCTTCTAGGCATGGCTGCTGTATTTCTGGAAAAGAGCTAAAATCCACGGCGTGGAAAGTGATATAGCAGAAGAGCGTCTTCAGTTCTGGATCAACCGTCTCGGGCAACAACCATCTTCACATGATGCAGTTGATGGTATATTACTATTACATTGAAGAATCTAAATTAATTATATAAGTCTGATCCATTTTTTGTATTCTTGGAGAGCAGTGGAAAGAGGAATGAGGGAGCTAAGGAAGCTTGGTATAGAACAACAATTGTGGGAAATGTCTCGCACAGAACTCATGGACTCCACTTTTCTTCCTTCTCATTCCGTTTCTGACTACTGTGACGAGTGATGACCTCTAATTCTCCTCTCTGCCTCCTATTTCCTACATTTACGACACACATATACACAAAGAATATCGAACCATCCTATCCCATAACCATAATCTTAGAAACTCCATCATTATCATCTAATCATATTTTGCTCTCGGACTGTGTTCTTATTGTTGGAGATATTATGGTCTTCCATGTTGTTACTTGTATAATACTCTTCGTAACATTTCCTTACCCAAAATCTGTGTACAAACAAGACATGATTTTACTTTTGGTTTTGTTCAGTTTTGTGAAGAAAAAAAGTTTTGGATCAAATGGTTAACCATTAACCGGGACTACCATTAACCCGTCAATTTCGAAAGGTATTCAGCACCCGGTTCATTAACCCGTCACTTGAAAATTCGTAAAGTTATAAAGAAACGTGTCTGTGACTCACCCGCAATGTGGTGGGCCCCATGGAAATCGAAAGATAGATCGTCCTCCTCCTATCTTATCCAAGATAAACCGATAATACTCTCTCACTGCAAAGGCGCCAAAACAGAGTAAGCCACACTTACTTCTGCTTCGAGAATGCCGATTGCTCCTTCCTTGTTGTCATCGTCTTCCTCAGTCTCTCAGTTTCTTCCAAAATTCCCCAACCCGACCAGGTTCAATGTAACTTCACGGAGCAGAGTCGCCACCGTCGTAGCGGCATCCGTCACCGACATAGCCGGCGTGGACAGCACAACCATCGCCGTACTCGGAGGCGGCTCAGTAGCAGCCCTCGCGGCGATGGTCTCCCTGACGGATCCGGAGAGGAGGAGGAAATTGCAGGCGGAGGAAGTGGGAGGAGGCGACAAGGAGGTCGTGAGGGAGTATTTCAACAGCACCGGGTTCGAGAGGTGGAGGAAGATCTACGGCGAGACTGACGAAGTCAATCGTGTACAGAAGGATATAAGACTCGGCCACGCCAAGACGGTGGAGAACGCCATGCTTATGCTGACGGAAGAAGGCTCGTTGGCCGGCGTCACGGTCTGCGACGCTGGTTGCGGAACCGGATTACTCTCAATTCCACTTGCTAAGGAAGGAGCTATCGTCTCTGCTAGCGATATCTCCGCAGCTATGGTTGCTGAAGCTGAGATGAAGGTGAGCTCTCTCGTCCCTGTGATTGCTGGATTTGGCTACAAACCAACTTTACCCCAAAAACTCAGATCAAATTTCAAAATGCAATTGCTGATCTCCAATTTCAATCTTGAATTAAGTTGAAGTTCCTCTGCCTGATGCTAGATAGAAATTTTCATATCAAAATGATTTGAAATAGTTGGTGAGGAACTACATTCTCGAATCAGAATCTTCCTGCTTGTTATTGACTGATTTGGAAACGTATCTTTTGAATATGAACAGGCGAAGCAGCAACTACCAGAAGAGAATCTACCAAGATTTGAAGTGAATGATTTAGAGAGCTTAAGTGGGAAGTATAACACAGTCGTGTGCCTAGACGTGCTGATACATTATCCTCAAAACAAAGCAGACGGAATGATCGCACACCTCGCTTCTTTAGCAGAGAAGAGAGTGATTCTGAGTTTTGCACCAAAGACATTTTACTATGATATATTGAAGAGAATAGGAGAGCTTTTCCCAGGTCCTTCAAAGGCTACAAGAGCTTATCTACACTCGGAGGCAGATGTTGAAAGAGCATTGCGTAAGGTCGGATGGAAAATCAGCAAGAGAGGACTCACTACCACACAGTTCTACTTTTCTAGGCTCATCGAAGCTGTTCCAATGTAGACAAAAACTAGGTTCGTTTTTTGGAAAACTTTCTCTTGTTTATCTGTTGATTTTTTTAGCAATGAATAGTAACTACTGTATACCGTCAATGTAATCACATGCAATCTTCAGGACCCAGTTCATAGTTATTCACTGTTTAAATGTAATATGTAACTTTGCAGAAAATTTGCTACAATCATGTTGAAAGTCTGAAACCAAAGTTGTGCTATCTCATTGTCATTTAAAAAGGGAAGAGAAACATATACAAGCTTAATGTTAGTGAAGATAGTAGCGAGATTAAAACAGAGTTAATAACTGTATATGATGATAGACAAGTGAGTTTTGGTAGCCATTTCAGTAGAGAATTACAAAAGAAGGAAAAAACAAAAGGAGGAAAAGCCTCTATACCTACTCTTGCAAGATGAAGGATCCTTTAATAGGTTTATCAAGTGTAGATTGAGGAAATATATTCAGAGGTGAGAACACATCGTTGTTGACGGTCGACGATGAGGGCGCCGGTTTGAACTCGTACGGACCTTGCTTTGGTCCCCAAACCTGAAACATGAGCAGCAAACCCAAATCACATGAAAAGTTGGCCATACAAGAGAGATGAGCGTGCATGAGGAAATGGAATTGAACCTGGTTTCCATCGTCGTCAAACCCGCGATCCCAGAGGTGTATCTCATTGTTTTTCAGGACCGCAAGATCAGATGTACAATAGCTTGCACCGTTCTTGAGATGCAAAAGAAGATGAAATAAAGGTTGGTAATATAGAATGAAAGGCCTCCGAGATTAAAGTGGAGATCTGATGTCTCAGAAGAAACATACCCATGAATTTGGGAAACCACCAGGTGGAGCCGTTCCTTCATACAAGCAACGCTTCCCACGGTCACAACAACTAAGTTGCATCGTTGTCAAATGCTCTCCAATGTCCTGTAATTCGATGCAATCAAACTTTGTGACGCCAAAAAAACAACAGCTCTAAATAAACATAAATTGTTGTCAACAAAACGACTTTCAGCGACTACTATCAATTATATCGGTGACTTACAAAAAACGAACAGCTCTAAGACAATGAACGAGAGAACCGTAATAACATAAAATTGTTGTCAAACGACAAAACACTGTGGATCAAAACGGACGACAGCATGACCTACCAATTATGAAGAACTAAGCGAGTCAGGAATCGGTGAGCGTTACAGTAGCTGGTAGCCGAAGATACGAACCGACGTCAACAAGACTGAGGTCTCTTCCGACCTGGCAGCTGCTAAATAAACATAAATTGTTGTCAACAAAACGACTTTCAGCGACTACTATCAATTATATCGGTGACTTACACCAATAACTTCTTCGGGAAGTGGTCGTTGATCCTTTGGGCGGTCACAGAAATTCTTGTACTCCTCAGCATCTCTGATTGCATATGAGCTCACCTGGAAAATTAAACAAAGATAAACACGGTTCAGAGCTCATACAAAAAAAGATCACAACTTTCCTGATCGATAGGATATATATGAAGCATTTGCTTACCTCAACATCACATTTTAACTCCTTTGGGCAAGGCTTAACCATATACAATCTCTGCAACTCAAAGAGATATAATTATAACTGGTTCACAAAGGATACAGACATAAAGAACCGTTATCAATTGCGGAGAGCATACTTGCCGAAAGGGTTTCTGAGGAGTTCTCCAAAATGCCTGAGGGACAAGAGAGATATACCTTAACATAACCTATACATACATGATTAAACAACTTCGTAACGCGAAAAAGAAGAAGAAGCTGAAACTACTGACCTGCTCGAGATAGAGAACCTGCGAACCATCAACCATCTCAGCTGCTGGGCAGCTCATCATTCTGCACAAAGTATTTTCAAAAGCTCATTTTGAAGGTTCTGTTACTCGGGGCAATCAAATGCTATGTGAAGGGTTTAAATGTGAAAAATAAACCACAAAGTTCAGTGACACTGGGGTTGAAAAAATCAAAATTGATGAATGAGGAAGAACAATACATACCTTATGTTGAAGTAATTATCAGGATCTCTTGATGCCTGCTCCTTAGAAAACTTAAAAACCAGTCAAACAAAAGCCATGAATCAGCACAATTTTTCTTCTGGAAAATACCCAACCTACGAATTTGAAGTCAGAATCATGCAATATGAAGTAGAGAATCGAGAGCGGACCTTCTCGCCGCTGAGGGAGCGAGAGACGACGTGAGAGTGGTCCCAGCGAGTTGTGGATTTCGTGAGACGCTTGATGAGAACAGCGCCGCCGATCAAAATCAGCGCCTTCACCACTAAACCAGGAGCACGGCTCCACCCGGACGAGCTCGACTCGGGATCCGAACCTGACCCGGTACCCATAAACCCTTTCAGCTCAATCCAAACCTTGACTCCCTAGCATCTGATGATGTTTCCTCAGAATTGAGAATGCCTTAGCTTAGCCAATCAGAGCTCCCGAAGCAGGAGGAGGAGGGTGAGAATGTGACGAGAATCGGCGTTTGCCGGCTAACTTCCAACTCTCTAGAGTTTTGAGAACCTGTGGTGATGTTATTTGCCACGTCATTGTTTCGCTTTGCTAAATTTATTTTTTCTTTTCGATGATAGAATTTCGTAATTTTTATTTAATTTCATCGCAAAGTTGATAATCGCCCAAATCCGATTTGATTTTTATGCTACAAAATGATAAAATCGAGCAGTTTTTTTTATAATCAACTTTAATCAATCCCAAACATCTCCTTGGGAAAACTGGTTCACTAAACGAAATGTAAGCAAAAGTAACGAATGGAGAATATTTACACAACTGATACAAAATGTAATGCAATGACGACATCGACACAAATCTGTTGGGTGAAATAAATTCACTAACCAGTCCCTCTTAAATTGTCTATAAGCTGGAAATATCGACCTGACGACCATGATGACCGGTCGATCTTACTTCTTAGTGTCTAAAAGGCTTAGCATCGACATGAAGGCAGCGACCGACGATATTAATTTAGCAATAATGGTTTGTACAATTTCCTAAATCTATTGGAGTTGTAGAGGACCGACGTGCACTTCTAATTAAAAGGAAATTAGGAGTGACGACCGACGTAGGAAATAGAAAGTATACGATCGACGTCAAAGCCCAACTCGATAAGGACTAGGACCGATGAACACCTATAAATAAGAGGTCCTAGAACCAAGAGACTCATTCAGAAAAACACACAAAAACCCTAATAGCTACTTGTTCTTCGCCTCTCGACGAGCAAGCGACGAACAACCTAGATACGACGAACTACGATCTACGACGAGCGACAGACGAGATTCTCTTAGTTTAATCTTTGATATTGACTTGTTGTAGCTCGATATTCAATTGATTAATAAGATATCTTCTCCTGCGTCATTCCGTTTATTGTACTTGCGAACCGGTTAAATTTTGCCCTAACAAAACCATTGTAATAATAGTTATTTATACAAATGCAATCATTATTACAATGGTTTGTGTCGATGTCGTCATTGCATTACATTTTGTATCAATTGTGTAAATATTCTCCATTCGTTACTTTTGGAGATATGAACTGGAGATATGCACGTGACCTCTATTACCATGGAGAAAAATAAAGAGTTTCATGATTTACTTCACATGCAATCATTGTATTAATTAAACAGAGTTTTTTGAGCTTTGAACTCATACTGAATAGGTCTTGGATTCTTCACTTGTCTTGTCATGTCTTCTTCGTGGATGCTGTTTTCTTCAGGCAAGGAATGAAAGAGGAAGATGAGATATCTTCACTTGTAGAGAGGGAAGATACATCAGAGAGTGTTGTTTAACTGATTAGTTATCATTCATGAAGGCAAATGATGGAGGAAATGTTGATGATTTGCGCTCGTCAATTAGAGATAATCGCTACAGTACAAAAAAAACCTCCAGGTGCGAACCCCTTTGACCTAATGCATCAATTAGAAATATATATTTTTTTTCACCGAAAAAATGGTAAAAAGCAATGTTGACACTTTTATGCGTGTATATACAATAATAATAAAATCTTAAAAACCTACTGTATTTAATCACACAGATTCACGAAAAAACCAAAGAAGATTGTATTGTCTGGTCTCTACAAAAAGTTCAAACTGCTCAGTTCCTAAACTAAAAATCTGTTCAGTTCCCAAAACTCAGCTAACTGCTCATACAAATAAAACTTAGCCTTATTGACCAGATAAAATGAAACTATCGACTCCAACAGTCGGCGTAGATCTGAGCTGGTCTAGTTATTTCCGGATCAGTTTCACCCGAATCTAAAGAATTTCTGTCGTTTTGCTCAATTCGGGTTCGTCTTTGGAATTGTGGATCAGATTGGCTTTTTGAGAAAATGTTTCCAGTTTTCCTCTTTATGATCGATCTGTGTAAATAAGTGTCTTATGAGAGACTCAGAGCAGAAAGGTTCAGTAAAGTCTATGTGCGAATTTAGTTGGGAGAACAGAAAGTTTGTTCGACACCGATAAGGAAGTGACAAAGTGGGGAAATGGGCAATGGGGAATCGACACGTGCCCAGATTCCGCGTAAAGGCTAGATTTCACGTGCGCCCATCACATTAATCTGTGACGAAGTGGGAAATGGGCAATGGGGAACTGACACCTGTCCAAGTTGGGTAAAAAGGTATGAAAGGTCACGTGCGCCCATCATTTTATCCGTTGTCTTCCCAACCTTTGGGGGACCTTCTCTAATTGGTCACCTTTTGACTTTCCTTCTTTAGATTTCGTCATACCTGAAAACTAAAATTATCATTGTATTTCAGTATGACTATGGATTTAATCTATTTATCTATTGCTGTTTATCACTCTAAATGTTCTCAAATTATTAATCTCCCGTGTTACTTGATCGTTAGTTTATAAAATCTGCAAATTTGTCGTAAGTATTTAGTTGATTTATTTACTCATAATAACCCCACGCATCATACTATTGGAATGCTACTCATGGACCAAATCAAATATATATTGCACCGTATAACGTTCAAAGTTTGATATATTCTTCTCTTATTTTTTATTTTTTTGCTAAAATGTTTGATATATTCTTTTACCATTTCATATATATTAAGAGAGCTTGACAACATGATACAAGTTCATTAAATCACAAAATGATACAAGTTATTAAAATGGCTCTAGCTAGCTTGAGACCACACCAAGCACAAAGTACATACGAAACAAAACAAACCCCCCAATAGCAAATATATACATGATAGATATATCAGCGAGGATGATTAATGGAGAATCAAATTGAGCCAGTTTTTGATGATCGACTACATGTCTCGAACATGGAAGACGTTAGGGTTCTTGACGACAATATCATACATATGAATAGAGTTGAACTTTGAGAAGTCACGAGGGAGAGATATGAGATCGATCGATGTTCTCTTGTGGAACTGGAGAAGATGATCGGCGTCACTGTAGTACCTCTCCCACCCAAGACCTTTCAAGATCTTCTCAAGTGATCCGTACGAGGAGACAACCTCGTTGGTTGGAAGATGGAGAAGGATCTTCCTCCTCATTCTCTGTTGCTGGCTACCACCGTAATAATGCAGTATCCTGTTTTATTTAATCATAAAATTTTGTGGAAAGATTGACAAGAAGTGATAAGCAAAGCAAAATTGAGCGAAAAAAGAGAGACAATGACGAAGAAATTAAATGAGGGAAGTGGGAGCGAAGGCCCTCGTGGGAGAAATTAAATGCAGAGCCACACTCACTCACTCTTCTTGTTCTCTTTAACACTATCAACACAAACCACAAAGTTTGTTTTAGTCACTTTGTTCCTCTTTTCACTTACAGTTTTCGGTCCATCCTAAGTTGACATCAGTATATTATACTATATGACGTTGCTCGTGCAATTTACAACTATAATTCTTCAAAAGAAGAATTATGAATTTAATAACGAAAATGGGGAATGATTTTTATATTTATACATAGGTTTTGAAAACTGTCGTGGCTATTTTTGATCCAACCTACCTAGTGATCATTTTGCGACCGACTTTGAGTAAGAAAAACCATAAAACGTAATGGTTTCTATTATTTTTATTTGTTTTAGTTTTAGATTTTTTGGTTAAAGATGCCTCTATTCATCTTTCCAGTTTTTGTTCTCCCTTTACAAGATAAGTAGTTTCTTTATATCATTATCGGATTACTACGAAATAAGTGTTAAAGGATTCTACTATGAAACTATTTAAATGAATGATACTATATTAATATTAATCCTGATCAAATAACTAATTTTTGTGTGTGGTGGAATATTATCCATCCCACTTATGTGTAATGATTGAGTACATGAGTTTATTTCTGCCCCTGAAATGATATTTTGAAAGCGTTTTACACTTTTCAGATACATTTCACAATAACTGGATTAACTAACTGTATCGTGAGAAGCAAATATTTCCATAAACTAGCGGATTGAAATGCTTAGCAGTCATTTTCTAAAACCCATTGCATGTGTGGTTTAACAAAAAAAAATTAGTGCATTTATGTCAAAAATGTTACAGCCCATCACAGTGTATAGAATCCATTGGCACTCTTTATATATAGAATCCATTGCATTAGGTTTTCGATCTCATACCACTCATGTAGAATCCATTGCATAAGATCTTCTCTAGAGAGATTTAAGCTGAGGCTTACTTGTAACTGAGAGCAGTGGTTCCATCAATGATAGTGAAACACTTAAACATAAACAAAAACATAAACTTACACCTTTTGGTTATGTGTTCTAATAATTCAAAGATTTTGGACACAATTCTCTAATAAGTCTAAATCATGATCTTCTCTTTCCATTTTCCAGTTTATAAATTTTGTGCGACATATATAATAGGTGAACCTATTTCCGCTTTCAATGTGTGTCCGTTTTAGTAGGTGACTTGTGTTGAAAGGGAACATGTGGATAGAGCCTTAGGGCTTCACAAATCGCACCATGTAAAAACACCAACTTCTTTAACTCTTGGGGATTGAATGAATCAGAGTGAAAACCATTAGTACTATACTCTTGGTTCTTGAAACTAAGTTTGCGTTTGCGTTGATTTCTTGACGAATCTTGGCAACGGCTGCGTTGGTGATAGTGTAAAAAAATATATATTTCGTTGGTTAGAAATATTTGACGAGTAAAAGAATATTGCATTTTTCTACAAAAACAATCGATATTTCATTTTGGTTTCAGAGTACATTACTGTATGTTTCTGATGTTGTTGTTTCGCGGTGGTCAAGAGTCGGTGATGACGTGCTATTCTCGTTCGTGCACACGTGTCTATTATATTTGGTTACCTCTACACGTGTACCGGGCCAGTTTAATCAAATCATTCTCAAGTTTTCGTGTTGGGCTTTTTGTTGAATTGGGCCGTCAGATCAAAGCTCCCTTGTATCTGCTTTTCATGCCGACCCAAAAAAAAGAGAGAGTGTGTTAACTTGCGATTATTCCCGCTAAGCTTTTGTTTGTTAAAATTAAAATTTAGTCATCAGATCTGTAATTTTCTCTTTTAAGCATTTTCAAAAATTAAGTTCCTCTCTGGAAATACGAAGCTCGAACCAGCTTAGCGCGGGACTTCGTTCCGCATTGGCGCTCCGATTTCGTGTTTATTGGAGAAGAGTGAGAAGAGGAGTCGAGTTGCTCGGAGACTTTGGAAGAAGACGGGATTTTGGTCGTGAGAAGTTTGCTGGATGAGAGATGCCGATGCGGAAAGATCAAGAGCAGGTGATGGAGCTGAGATCGGGGCTCGCTTTGATGAAGAACAAAATTTACAAGAGCTACCATACCATTTAGCAGGATGTTCTAAGTCTCCTCAGATCAAAGGCGCTCCCGATTATGCTCAGGTCCTCTCTCCCGTCCCTTCCTGATTTTTCGAATTTTTCTGTTGTTCGTATGATTTTGGAATGTCGTGCGTCTTTAGAGCTGAATCTCTGATACGTTTGAGCTACTTCGGAATCGAATGTTTAGCTTAATCCTGCCTAATTGATTTCCCTTTGTTTATATTTCCTCAGATCGAAGGCGCTCCTAATTACCGTCAGGTTCTCTCTCCCGTTTCTTCCCCTACTTTGATTTTCGAGTTTTTTTTTGTTGTTATTTCCCGTGATAAACTCGATTCGAGCTGTGAATTTTGACATGGATAGGACTGAGTATCAGGAATGTCGTGCGTCTTTAGAGCTGATACGTTTGGGCTACTTCCGAATCGAATGTTTCTTTGATTCCAGGGGAATCTAGGGTTTCGTGTACTACACTAGAGCTTAATCCTGCCTAATTGCTGCTTTCCCTTTGTTCATGTGTTGCTGTGAGTCAGAATTTGAGAATACTCGGTTTAATGTGATCTCATTTTGTTATCTGCTAATGGTTTTGCCGTCTTTGTCACAGGCTGGTTCACTACCTGTACACGGGGTTGCTATCCCGACCTCTGCTGGGATGAGAAACCTTCTTACGCACATTGGAGCTCACAAGGATGGGAAAAAAATTATTTGGATTGGTCTCAGCTATAACGAGCCGGTAAATCTATCTACTCAAAATTCTGCCAATATACAAAGCCTAGGCGTGTGTAACTTATGTATTTTCTCACTAACTTGCCATTTACCACACATTTGGCAGGTAGTATACATAAATGGGCGACCATTTGTTCTGCGTTCCGTGGATAAGCCTTTCACCAATCCTGAGTACACGGTACAAAAACCTTACCCGGAAACACATGTTGTTGTTATTGTTCATTAATTTGCCTTTTTATACATTAGCCTGTTTGGTAGACGAAAATAATCTCCGCTAACAAAGTAAATCAAATCAGTAGCACTGTGGACGCGTGGAACATTTCATTTGTGACGTTTATGTTTATGTTTTGCTCAGGAAATAGTAAACAACGAAAGGCTAGAGCAACAAGAAATGAGCATGATTGAATGCATTCGCGAGGAAGCATCTAAATTTGAGAATCTCCTTCTTGTAACGGATGAAGTTGAGGGTCAATTAGTGGACCAGTGGGAGACCATATCTACAGGTTCTTTGAAGACTCTGAAAGAAGTACATGCTGAAGAAGGTTTGGTCGGTTTTGAATGTTGCAGGATAACGGAAGAGTCTTCACCAAGAACAATGTATTTTGATACCTTGGTAAGTCTTATGCTTACGAAACTAGCAAGAGCATATATTTTTGTGGGTAACTTTGGCGAAACACGAGAATTAATTTTTATGCCACTTCTCTAAGCCGACCACCTTGAATGGTTTACTATTATATGTTTCTGTCAAATTAAAATTAGAAGATTAATATACATGCGTGTTTGCAGATTCAGAAGATTTCTCAGGCTGACAATACTACCGATATAGTTTTCAATTGTCAAACGGGACGTGGACATACGACGATGGGAATGGTGGTTGCAACTCTCATCTATTTCAAACGCACTGGAGCATTGGGTACTTCATCCTCTCCGGCCACTCTCTACTACGGAAATTTTTTATTTGAAACCAGAAGAGGGCAACACTATTTTGAATTGTTTACTTTTTTACCTTCTTGAATGTTTTATCCCTGGATCATAGTTAAAGTTTTTCTTTCTTTGGATCAAGGGTCCCGAGAAAACGAGTCTGTTGGGGAAGGCAAAAGGCAAGTCGATAAAGCCATCGACCATTGTGGATCCGTGCAGGTTATCTTCCGTTAGTTTTAATATCTAAGAATACTTTCTGATATATCAGAAACTGTGTCTAACAGTTGTTCGTTAATCAAATTACAGAACTTACTAGAAGCGATTCAAATCTATCGCACCAGTATTTTAAATCAAGTGGATGAAAAGAAGAAAGAGGCAGCACACTCATTTTTTGTTGAGTACTTGGAAAGATATCACTTGCTTATATGCTTTGCTGTATACCTTCTTTCCCAAGATGCTTCCCTCCAGCCTGGGTCGCGTGGCCATGTAAGCTTTGCTGATTGGATGGAAGCTACAGAGCTCAACACCATTCTTTCCAGGTACTGACAAGCAGTTTATGTTTGCCGACAAATATGCATCTGTTATCCATCTGCTTGCTTGTAGATTTGGTTGTACCTCAGGTTTCCGTAGGAGCAGTTCAATTTTTTCGTCTTTTTGTTTCTCAGACTTTTCCTATGTTTAACTAGCTCTCTGCAGTTGTATACATTTAAAGCTGTTGTAAAAGAATTTGAATATGCCCAAATGAATCTGGTACTCGTGTTTCAGACTGCATTCATGTAAGTTCATTTGCAAATTTTTCAACTTCCTCAGGAGAGATCCTCTGGGCGCCCTTGGATATGCACAGCCTTCTCTTAAGATGAGGGGGGTCGCTGGACGTAGAAGTGGGACAGTTCTGCGAAGAGACACTGTTCTGAAGAGTGATCTAAGTCCTTTTTGTCCCACTTTACCAACGTTAAATCGTGATGAAAAAGCACCGAACTATAGAAGGGTTGGAGAATTTCCTGTGTATGGTGTTGGGAATCCAACTAGTGAGGGTATTCAATCTGTGTATAAAAGGGTGCGGATGTTAAATGGTACCAGGCCCATCTTTTGGCTCAACCTGAGAGAAGAAACGGTTGTATATATCAATGGGGAACCGTACGTTGTACGTGACATTGAAAGGCCATACAAGAACATGCGAGAAGATAAGGTAATAATAATCTGTATATTTCAACGCCTCTGTATTGTATTGGTTGAGAGAGGATAAGGTAATAATTATCTGTGTATATTTTTGTGTAGGGTATCGATGAAGTAGAAGAAAAAGAGGCAATTCTCAAAGAGGAGGTTGTGAGAGAAAGTAGGCTCAAGGGTGGAATCTACGTGATGAAACTAGCAGAGGATGGCAGTTTGTTTGAGTCCTGGGAATCAGTAAATGCTGATTCCGTGAAAACTCCAAAGGAAGTGCACAAAACAGCAGTGGATGCTAATGGTTCTTATGCTTATGCTCGTGTACCTATGGGAGAGCCAAATCCCTCGGACTTTGACACATTAGCAGCCCGCGTTTTTTCCACTCACAACGCTGCTTTTGTCTTCAATGGCCAGGTAGTTTCATAGTCTGCTTTTTGATATATCAAGTTATTGACTTTTCTGTTCGACTTACAGAGCCTTTCATTATTTCACTTTCACAGATTGGGAGAGGTAAAACAACATTTGCAACTGTCATTGCTTGTCTAGTTAAGGTGCGGATGGATTATGGGATACCAATTATGCTGGTAGATGATGATATTGGTATCTACGGGAACGGGAATCTGTTGTTGCATGAAGAAACAAGAAAAGTAATCACTAGACCAGGACTGCCTATTATAAGGTTCGATGATGGACACAGGATCCTATATAGTTCAAGATCCAATGGAATGGATGACACACTTCTCCTGACCAAACTCACTGGATTATTCGACAATGGAGTTGAATCCCGGGAGGCTTTAGATACAGTGATAGATACTTGTGGCTATTTTCAAAATATTCGCGAAGCTGTGATGCAGTATGCACTGGTTTTCAACCAACAACATCTTGAGCCAAGAGTAAGAAGTGCTGCATTGGAACGAGGCACTGAATACTTGGAGAGATACTTGCTGTTGATTGCCTTTGTAGAATATCTTGGAAGCAAAAATCTTGAGTTGGGAAGTGAGTCTAGGATGAATTTTAAGGATTGGTTGCATCAGAGACCTGAGGTAGAAGCGATGAGGGGGAGCATACGGTTAAGGCCTGGACGGTTTCTTACCATGCATGTGAGTCATTATCTCTTTATCATTCTTCAGGCTGTATAGCTGTAAATTTGTTCTTTATTTTGCACATTACAGCTTTGAATATTTTTTCGTGCAGGAGGAATTGCGGGCACAACAAGAGAATGCAGTCATGGAGTCAAGTAAAAGAGAGGCATTACCTTCACCTGTAGAGGCAATCCAAGGAGCACATTTTCAACTCAGGGCAAAGATTGATCCGATCAAAAATTTATCTCAAGATATGATGTACGAGACTGTGAGCAGACTTTCTGCAAAAGATGTGGCACTCACTGCCTCTGTCTCAAAGCATTACTACGATCTCTGTGCACAAATGAATATCATGCAGGATGTTGAGCTTGAGGGAGGTGAAAATATGAGAGCTTGTGCATCAGAAATCTGTGCTCTGCCAAAGGAAACAAGGGTGAGAAGATTCTCTGTCAATTGTTCAGATGGAGAGGACTTTGTCCTGGTGAACAAGTGCCTTTGTCATGTGTTGAAGCTGGGAGTGATGGAGATTCGGCTCGTTTGCGGTAAAGAATACACTTTACCGATGGAGCTTTTCAGAAGTGATACCCTAACCACTCTAAATATGGGCAAGGGCTTTGTGGTTGAATTCGTTCCAGAAGATGCCTGGTTACCTACTCTAGAATCCATTACCATGGACTCGCTGCGGTTTTTGGGTGATAACAACAGTTGCGTTTTCCAGAAATTGCTATCTGCTTGCCCAGTCTTGGAGGAGCTGACAATTAATGGCATGGCTTGGGAGACTTGGATCTGGTCTGGAAAGATTGCATCTAAGAGTCTTCAGAGACTATGTATCCAGCGTGTTTTCCCAGTTGAGGTCGAAGGATTTGCCTCACATGATCAGAGGATTGTCTTTGATACCCCTGGACTTTCACAACTGTACTATGCAGATCTGGTTGCTCATGAATACCAGGCGAATTTCGGTTCCCTTGAAGATGTAACTCTCAAGCTGCAGCTCGTCTTTAACCTTGAAGAAATGTTTGGGAATCCCAATCTACCTTATCTTCACTTGTCAAGCAATGCTAGGGGACTTTTGAGAGCATTCAAGGGGATAAAAAAACTGTGCCTCTCTGATACAGCGACTTTCCAAAGTTTGGTGCTGTTTAAAAGATCGCTAGTACTAAATAATCTCGAGGATTTGGAAATCATCGTCGATGATGTTGATGATGAAGAAGTAAGTGACTTGAAGAACGAGCTCAGTCTTTTGCTGGAAAAGGCGCCCAAAGTGGAGACCCTGTCTCTCTCTGGTATCATTTATCCTGTGGTTGAGGACAAGGTACTTTCTCAACTCTCAACTCTCTTGTCCAATACTTTCTCAACTCTCAACTCTCTTGTGGTCTAATCTTGTGCTTGCTTTGAATGGTCGTTCTACCATTGTGCAGTCTCTAGCTGTAACGATTTGAGGGGGATTGTAAAGGTATGCTTCTGACTCGTATAACCTTGGCTTTGTTATATTATTATCGAATGTTGGTTTCTTGAAATTGCGGGTGTGTAGGGTGTGTGCTTTGTAGATTGTCCAATTGCTTGTGTGCTTTGTAGATTGTGCTTTGTGCTTTGTAGGTTGTGTGCTTTGTAGATTGTCCAATTGCTTGTGTGCTTGGTAGATTGTGCAATGACGACTTTTCTTGGTTTGTGTGGTAGAAATATGGTGGACGGAGCAAGGGAGGCTCACTGGGGAATGAAAACTGTGCAGCTATTTTTGTATTGACAAAACTGTGCAGCTACAAACTAGAGGAAGAAAAAAAGAAAACAGGATGGAAATTGAATTTGTTATAGCTGGGATGATAATTGCTCGTGTTAGGTTATATCAACGAGTTGCAATGGTACTATGATCGTTTTGTTGTTTTACTTGTTAAAATTTCTACTAGTTTTCATGATTGGGGCCGTGTGATTATTAGTCCATTGGACTTAACTCGCATGAACCATGTGAATAAATCGATATTATATCAGGCTTTTACGCATTCCTAACATTCCGTTTACCATTAAAAGGCAAAGAAAGAAAAAAGAAAAAAAAAGGATAACTTGTAGGCACTCGAATCAGAGAGGCAGCAAGTCCACCGATGGCCCCTGCAGTTTGGGCAACAAAGTTGATATTTTTCATTCTCAAATACAAGTGAAAAGTACAGCAGAGACTTGTAACATACTTTAGTTTCAAAGGCAAAAACTCTCTCACCGGGTGAGCAACTGGAGCCTAAATGATCAGGAAAATGTCTTCAGCAGTTTCTGCTTTGTGGGTTCGTAAACTCCAACAAATAAAGCCGATGCCAAAACAAGTATTATCTAGGAGAAAAACAAAAGGGACAAGGACACAATGGATGAGGTCAGAGTGACTTACGGTAAGACACCAGCGATGTTTCCAGCCAATCCTGAATAAAGACCCTTTAGAACAATTTTCCCACCTACATCATAAGATCAGAAACAATTAGAGGGAGACTAAGGTTTCACTTTTTCTTTTCGTTTAGACCAAAGGATAACAGGAGCTCAAAAAAATACATAAGTTATCAATTTTTCAATTCCATTAAATACTGTGTTATTCAATATTTAGTAGTAACTTAATAAAAAAAAAAAATTAGACAGAGTAAAACCAAGCGCTTTGGAAAATGTGTGAATCTTAACACGGTTAGGTTCCGACCGTAAGTCTTTGGAAAATAAGAGTCATCTAAATGTTAAATTATTTCTGATCACATATTTTGCTTCCCTTAAAGAGGATCTACCTCCGTCGTTAATCCGAGGAGAGACGAATGACTCTCGACTCCAAACTTTAGGTTAGGAGATGGATGGAAGAGACTTGTCACATAGATAATATCAGGCTCAATGTTTAATTTTAATCATAAAGCACAAACTGTATTGGCAATTGAACAAAAAAAAAAAACAAAATAGAAAAGCACTCTTTTCCTTTTTTTTTATTCCCTTCATCCAAAATCGAATCGGAATTGGAAATTCATGCCTATATAAGAAATCTGTTCGATCTCCCCTATCCTCCTGACCTCCTTGATTCAAATTCATTCACTCTTTTTCCCAATAAAATCAGAAAACGCTGAGAATGGACGCCGGCAGGGATTGGAAGAAGAAGAACGGCGCGGCGGGGGCGGCGTTTGAGCAGAGTCTGAGAGAAGCTCGAGAGAGGCGAGAGGCTGAGATGGAGCCAGAGACGGCGGAGCTTGCGGCCTACAGACTGGCGCGGCGGAGGGAGTTTGAGGAGAGGGCCCGCCGCCGACCATTCAGTATCCGAGGGTGGTTGGAGTATGCGCGGTGGGAAGAGTCGCAGAATGATTACGATCGTGCAAGGAACGTGTGGGCACGAGCCTTTGAAGTCAGTATGAGTATGATGGACCATACGGTCTGGATCGAGTATGCAGAATTTGAGATGAAGAACATATCTGTGGACAGCGGGAGACTAGCTTGGCTTCAAGCCGTCAGTTGTGTCCCCGACGTGGACGAGCTCTGGCACAAGTCCATCGAGATGGAGGAGAAGCTTGGGAATATCGCCGGAGCTAGAAAGGTATTGGACCGGTGGATCAACAGGTTGCCGCGTGCGGGTGAACAAGCGTGGCTCTCGTATATCGAATTCGAGCTCAGGTATAACGAAATCGAGCGCGCGAGATCCATGTACAACGCATTTGTGTTTCACCATCCAAAAGCTTCTGCCTTTATCCGATATGCTTGCTTCGAGATGAAGTGTGGTGAGGTTGAGCGTGCCAGGAATGTGTACCAACGCGCCACCGAGAAGTTGGCATTGGTGGCAAACTCTGCACTCGCATCAGAGGCTGCTAAAGAGGATGCTGCGTTGCTCTCTCTCGCCTTTGCTGAATTCGAACATCGGGCTACCTGCATCCACGACTTTGCCAATCTACAAGTTACCTGAGGGGGACGCCGTTGTTGGCTAGCTGCATCTTCTCTTTTTAAGGTTTTTTTCTAAGTTTAACAGTTTTTATGTTTCACGGATTTGATTTGATTCTCTTGTTGCTTTCTTTCCTTGAGTGTTGACTGTTTCGCTGCATTCTAATATATGTGTTTGCTTTCTAAGACACAAGTTCAGTGTGGGGATGAGCATTTTCACCATCCGATCCAACTATTTTTCACACATTCCGTTACGGTCCCCATTGTCTAGCTCTGATCATCATTATCACCTTTCGTTAAAAAACGACGAGATTTTCACATAAAATCTTTTACTAGGGTTTTAAGTGTTAACGATAATTTGTTTCGCTCGACTTACGATAAGTGTGCTTTAAAAATTGATGTTTACTCAGATTGCTGCTACTGTCTCGGCTCGACATCTTGTTGTATGGAATTCAATGTTTTCAGGTTATGCTCAACAAATCAGAGAACGAAGAAGCTCTCAATCTGTTTCTGGAACTATATATAGATGTCAAAAGAAAGACCTGATGAGTTTACTTTTGCTGGCATGGTTACAGTAGCTGGTAACTTGGCAAATCATGTCGACTATTATTTGTTAAAATAAAATACAAGAGGAACCACACGTTTTTTCTTCTTTTTGATAAAACCCACTCTAGTACATTCAACAGATGCATAAAGCTTTATTACAAAGAAAGACACACAAAACCCAAAACGAGACAAGCAAGCATCAGATAATTTTGAGGAACCCAAGTACCCAACGACCGTATTTGGCATCTTGGGCTGATGCTATAAAGAGCCACCTAACTTACATTCAGGGAAAAAAGACAAAGGTGGTATCGATCTGCAGTGAGTACAGGATGCACAACGCTGAGATCACTCTGCGCTACACGCAACCGCTGATGACCTCATTGATGTCATTGAGGGTAGTCGGATCTATATGCCCTGTATCTACGCTGTCAACAAGATCGATCAGATCACACTTAAAGGAGCTTGAGATTATGGACAATCTTCCTCATTACTGTCCTGTCAGGTAAATATTTTGTAGTTTCTTGATCAATTGTTTCCCCTTTTTTCTCATTGAGATATAATAATACTTGGACGGTCTTCTGGATAAGATATGGGAATACTTGGACCTAACTCGAATCTACACCAAACCGAAGGCAATGAATCCAGATTATGATGATCCTGTTATCTTATCTTCCAAGAAGAGAACAGTTGAGGACTTTTGCATCAGGATTCACAAAGACATGCTTAAGCAATTCAAGTAGTACGTAACAAAAACTTACCACTGGTAATAACTTTCCCGTTGCAGTGCTTTAGTCTGGGGTTCAAGTGCCAAACACAAGCCACAGAGCGTTGGAAGGGTCAGTCTACTTTGCATATTCAGTAACTTTTTTAATCAAAGTTGTCAAGACATCCATAGAAGCCATGGTGAGCTCTAGATAACCCTTGTTTTTCCAAAATAGACACCCCAATTTCCAATCTATCGTACATGACTTAGGCGGTCCGAACTTAACCACACACAATTCAAAAGCGCACAGGTGATACAATATTCATCCAAACAACAAAATCACATACATATTGTACAACACAAGGCCAGTAAATTGCACAAAGTACTCAGCTTTTAGCCCAAAGATCCGAAAGACATCTGTATTAGGTTCTGGTCTCCACATCTTACAGTTTATACCCTCGTATGGTAGCAAATTCATTGAAGCAAAGATCTTGGTATAAAATTGTCTGAATTCAGTCAATGATCCCTTGATATTGTTTGGCTGATCCCTGAGAAGAAAGATCAAGAGAGAGTTGAGAAGATGATGGAATTTGGAGATGCAAAGGGAGAGTTTACAGGTGTGATAAACCATTTCTACCTGAGCCATGAATCTTGTTTTCATAACATCAAGCGGAGTGGTGACTGCTCCGGTCAGAGCACCTGCATACACCAAAACGGTACAGATGAACGATCAGCAAAGTTATAACACTCAACTGGTTTTCTATGTAATAAATCCATTGTACTTTGTAATGTGAATGTGGATCAGAGAGTTTCTTTCAGTTCAGAAAGTTAAATCCCATTGGCAGGTCAGCTCAGCTAATGGATTGTGTAACATCTACAGATATATCAAGCCGGAGATGGTGTGGAATGCAAAGACTAATTGGTGTTGGAGATGAGTTGAAGCTGAAAAGAGCTCTCGCCATTTTCGAAGTGCATAGCTTCTAAGAAAGATGAGATAAGCAGAGGGATTGATAATATCGATTCTTCTTCTTCTTCTAAATAATCCCACAAGAGCATCTTCAACAGCTAAAGAGGCACTCACAAGATCTTCCATCCTTTCATTAATGGCACTCTTTCTCTTGGGAGTATCCATATTTTCCCCATCCTCCGCTAACTCTGACAGGCTTCTAGCAATGTTTGAACGAAGTTCACTTAGTTTGGTCTGTTCGAGTAATTGACTCGCCTTAAGTGCCAACTACACACACAAGCTGATCATCAGTTGACGAACGTCAACATAGATATTATAATATTAAGGAACCAAACGCACCTCAGAGTAATTAGTATGGTCAAGTGTCGAGAATCGGATAAGTTTATCTCTGTATGCAGCAGGATTAGGGTAAACAAGCTGCTCCATGAGCCGGAGAACGAGTTTATTTTTGTTTTTTATGCCCTGAAATGAAGAACACATGAGCATACCATTCCAATGACATGAGACACCTGGTCTGAGAAGGATGATCACAGACCTGGTGAGAGAGCACTATATCCAGAATCTTCAGCAGATCTTTTGTGTATTGCTGACGCGTGCGTTCTATAACATCGGCCAATTCAAGTCAAATGAAATGCTTATTAGGACTCCTGTAACCACAAGGCCGATTATTAGCTATTGAACCATATATTACCAGCATGTTATCATTGAATAGTTCTTCTACTGATAGATATTCTCCAATAGATCTCAAACTGTTGATATGCTTCCTCTTTTTTATCCATTAAGCTAATACACTATGCCCTGAAAACACATCACATAACCATCAATTTCTTCAAAATTAGATAAACCCAAATCCCTTTTTACTTGTTACCCAAAAAGGAAAATGTAAGACGAGATGACTTTATTGAATCACAAAACATTCTCATCATGAATCAACTTTACCTAGCAAAGGTAAGGTCGAAAATATCGAGGATTGTCATTTACCATCTGTTGAAACATCTTTAGACCTTCTTCAAACTGACCCTGAAGTTAATATATATAATTAATAAACCACAAAACTCCGTTATTCCTATGCGTTCCTTTTAAAGATGGTTCAAAAGGACCAAAACACAAAAGAAAGGAAATTTAGGATTGGCTTTGCAGATGACTACTGGCTGTACCTTGACAATATGCATTTGGCCGACCAATACTTGTATGTTTCTCTCCTCGATTACTCGGTTTCCTTGTCGAGCAACTTCCATAGCTTCCTTGAGGATATCAAAGAGAGAAGGGTCATGAGTCTTATGCATTACAAGACCGTGCAAGAAACAAGACAAGATTTTTAAGAAAGTGAATACACAATCATATTTAAATCAAGATATTGCTAACAATAACATCCAGATCGAGTCACCATTCTGTTACCTAGCAAAAAAAGAAACCACATTTCTCATAAGTTCCATTAAAAGACTCTAATCCTAGAGAAGGGAGGGTTTTCTTTGAGAAAATCCTTAAACAATCTCTTAGACTCGCTCAATATAAATAAACCCATCTCCATAAGTAGATGCAAATGCAAAGCTCTCTGTTCTCCGGCTAACTTTCCTCACCCAGATTTCTCCTAAGTTTCGTTAAAAGACTCTAATCCTAGAGAGAAGCATCACCTTAAACAATCTCTAAGACTTGCTCAATTGCCCCATCGTCTCATAGCAAAGCGCTTCCACTCGGCTCTAATTTCATCGGCTTCTCAACATACTTGACAGCGTCTTCAGTTTTCCCTCTCCTCATCTTCTTATACAGAACAGCCTTCATCGCCTCCATATTCTCCGGCTCCTTCTCCAGAATCTTCTCGAACATTGCTTCGTCTTCTAACTCCGCTTGAGAGCTCACTGTTGCAGTGGGTAGCGCTAAAGCAGGTTTCGAAGAACAGAAACCTAAGAAGACGAACGACCCAGCAGTAAAATCGCGGCTTTTCTCGCCAGAACCTGAACGAAATACTTGGAAGAAAGAGACGTCGAAGAGGAAGAGGGTCGAAGAGGGAGATGTGAATAAATTTGACGGATTGGGAGAGTTTGGAAGCGAAAGCTCGGGCCCATTTGGATTAAGCAAGTGTGCCGGAGTAAAGATCTGTGTTTTTTTCCTGGCGATGATGAAATTTAGCCGGAGAACAGAGAGAGCAAATACTCTCCCTCCGGTAAGCACATTATAAACTTGGGCAACATTTTACGATGGATAACGAAGCTAGAGGCCCACGCATTACATTAGAGCCCAAGTCGTTATAACGATTAAATCTAACAAGAACACGTGTTCGAAAATGTGAATCTCTTGCAACATTGAACAAAAAAAAGTAAAAAACCTTCATATAGGAAGGATCACTGTTTATGGCGCACATCAATCATTTGATTTTCGTTTGCTTCTCCTTGTTTAATACCTAGGGACATAGATTGTACCACGGGCCAATAGGAAATTATGCATGGACCATGGAACCTGAATGTGCCAAAGTTTATGAAAGAACCTAAAGGTAGGTAGGCATACGGGACGTCAGACGTCAGTATCAAACACCACCAGCCACGCAATCCCGAAAACTCTATTATTAATTAGTCCTTTAGATATAACTGTTAAGAAATATACATATTGAGTTCGATTAGTATCACCAACTAAATATGCGAAAGCTCGAATATTGACATTTTATACAATTTGTTTCCCGTTAAAACTAACTAACTTTTTTTTGTTGTTTTGGCTCTCGTCTTATTTTTATAAAACATGCTACCCTAGAAATTGACATGTTTCAAATAGTTAAGGTCGTAGAAAAACGTGTTTCCACTTATCTTCTTGATTATCAATATAATCATTTCTGTCTACCTGCAAATTATTTTAAAACCTGAGATAAGCCAGGTCTTAATTTTCAAAAGGTCTACGTATCTTTTAATTGGCCAATTTGAATTGATAAATGATAACTAGTACATGCTATTTATTTATAAAAAAAAAAAATTATTGGTTCGACAAATCTTAGCTGGGGCAATTGTGTTATAATATGTCGCATGCACTGGACCGTTAGTTTCCAAAAGAGGTTTTGACTTAAACATAGCTACGATAGCAATCAAACAAAAGAGTACATAATCACCAAAAATAAGCTAAGATCCCTCGTGTTTATGATTATTGAAACTACAAAGATATGTACCCAATTTCAAGGACAACACAAGAGAAGATGCTTTCTCGATTCTTTTCATATTTTCTATATACACTTGTTACTATACGAATAATAACATGCACACATAAGAATCAAACTGCCCCTTTAGTATATAACCTCCATTTCTAATTTCTCCCTAATGGCTTTCGTAAGCTTTCTTGAAATCTCCATTGCTTTTTTTTGTTTTGTTTCCTTATCTTTCAATTCTTCTTGATCACCAAAAACCTCACCGCTCCTTTCTTACAAACAACTTGAGCACTTCACTCCAAGCTGGAACATTTCTTGGTAATTGTGACATGAAGGCCATACTTGATGTGAAGAATAAGACCAGGTTGTGGCACAATCTTTTGTCCATGGACGACCTTAATCTCATAGTTTAGTAATAGTTCCACGATCAGTATCTTCATCAGATTCATAGCTAAATTCTTCTTACCTAGACATGTTCTTGGAACGACACGAATTTGTAAGCAGGCTCATGTCTAAACACTCGTGTCTCTGAAATCCATCTCTCCGGCTTGAAATCCATTGCGTCTTCTCCCCATACGGTTTTCATCGCATAAATAAAGATGAAAACATTGATGTTTGATTTTACTTTATGCCCAGTTGGAAGCACATGAGACTTGATTGGAGACTTGCGTTCAAACGGAAGCGGTGGGTAGAGCCTCAATTGGTGTTTTTGATGCCTTAACTTGTGAGACTATCACCAATTTATGCGGAATTCGAATTCACGAGTGATAGCTTTCCAACTTCAATGTATGATGATATGATAGCTTTCGAACTCTTCAATGATGGAAGCCCTGTCTTCTGGTTCGGAAGAAAAGGCGAGATGCTTACAGGTAGATCAGAAGCAACAAGCTAACATAGCAGAAGAAGCCAGTGAAGTTTCGAGGAAACAAGGAGTGAAAGATGGACATGCATTGTAAGATCCCAAGAACAATATCTGAAAAAACTACTCCTCCTGCCAGTCTCAGCAATGTCATCAAAATTAAGGATCGTAAAAGAGTCAAGGTATTGTGGAGCGGAGATAAAGTTGATAGTGTGTCCAACTTAAGCTCCATAGTTAGTGTAGCAGAAGCTAATCCTACTAGCTCAACTGAAGAAAAAGTCGTTGTTTCTAAGAAATCTGAGCTGGTCGATGAGAATTATAGAGCAAGTCTCCGTGAGACAAATAGTTATCAAAAACTCACTGAGAATCGTGCCGAGGTTCGAGCAAGACCGATATCATCTAATTGAACGTGAGGGAGATTCCGACGAAAACTTTTGAAGCTGAGGAAAATCTTGTCCTCGAACCAACAGCTACTTACTTCACAAGCAGCGCATCGCAGTAATTGATACGTCTTAGGTGATGAGTCCTTATTCTAAATTATTAATCACTTCTTTGTTTCCTCGGTATCCTTCAACATCCAAAAGCAGCAGCTCAAGAATCTCCATCTGTATTTAAAGTCACAATTAAGTTCATAAAATACGACCTTTACTGTGAAATTGAGCTTTATCGGTACAGCTTACACTGATGTATCCCTGATTATATATGTCAAGCTCTTCCATGATCATCGCTGCATATTCATCTGTTATCTTCTGCGTTGTAGATTGATTGTTTGCAGATGCAGTAATCCTGGTAAACTGTGTAAAAGCATACCAAAGATAGATCAGTTTATTGGTTATACCTTTATACTGGATATTATTAAGTATTAGCTGATTTGAAATATCCAAACAAAACTATGTGTTACTGGATCATTGATGTTAAAATCTTTGTCGAAATGATGTGTTAATTGTTTATTGTTTTTCTTAACAGCTAGTCGAAATCTAAGGTTACTTGGTTAAAAAAATTTCGTTTAGTTTTAACATATTGGAATTATCTTCAAGTTAAAATTGATGTTCAAATTCGAATATAAACTTTGTTATTTTTTTGAAATTGCTAAGTGGATTTTCTAAATCAATCAAAATCCATAAACAACAGCTCCAAACAAGCTTAATTATTTTACCTCTCTAACGTCTGCATTTCACAAATCCCCATCTTTATCAACCCTGCATTTCACAAATCTTAACATCCGTTTCCAAGAAACTTGTAGAGACATAAAACGAAAGACCAACCAAACACCTTACATTTCAAAGAACATCTTAAGCTTGGATCCAAAGCGTTGATCATTTGTTTTTTCCCCAAAACTCCCTTAATTCGCACTTACTAATTCCACTCCTTCTTGTTATATCCCATCGTCTAACCAATGAGTCCAACAATTCCAAGGCAAATTCCTTTGAGTTTATTCCTGGATTGTTAATGGTTTCCTTTTAAATTCAAATTAAATACTTTTGATTTTTCAAACACTTACTATAATAAATTATCATTCTACAACTTTACCTAAGCATTCGCCGAACTTAGACCGAATCAGCATATACCAAGCTGGTTCTCAAATCCGACGCTCAGGACCTTGTTCTAGTTATCACTGCGCTCGAGCCTATCAAAGAGATCTACGGTCTACTTTTCGATATTCAAGCTCTTGCTTCTCTTTTCACCTCTGTTTCGTTTGTGTTTGTTCCTCGATCACAAAACTCAAAGGCTGATCTCCTCACTAAGTCAGCGAAGAGCCGTTTCTGTTCTGTAGCTCTATCCGGTTAGCCCGGTTTGGTTTAATTAAAAAGCGTTGTTCAGAAAAAAAAAGACCGAATCAGCAATCCATCAGTTTTGGCAGTCATCTTATCAAACCGTTTCTCCACGGCCATCCAGCCAGAATCGGTCATACTGATGAACATTTTGACCCCTTTCAAGGCCTCGGAAGAGTCAAACTTCGGCCGGCGTGGTGGCTTCACCGCGGACTTCTTCTCAGGCACCACGCTGACAACGGACACGCTGTCGTCGTGAATGTCTAGCGTGACGAGCACGTACCCCGTTGTGTCCTCCTCAGTGTCGTCCATCTCCGGATTTTGGTGGATCGGCGACGATGGTGCACTCATCGAATGGATGTGAGGTACTAAGTCGCTGCTCCACTCATTCCCGTCGGGGTGATAATCGGTCACGTCAAAGCTCACTCGTCTCTCCATGACACACTCTGCCGGAAAGTTTTCGTCCCCTTTTTGATGAGAAAGTTAACCGAAAAATCCGAACGGGAGCAAAGAGATTGAGTTTGTTTTTTTTTTTGTTTTTACAAGAAACAAAACAATGGAAGTTATTTCTTGCATTCCAAGTCAACTATTAACTTCTTGGGTGTATAGAATTAGTCTTACAGAAGTTTAGCTTTCTAAAATAATTAGTTGCTCTTTTCAAACGTTTTTCAAAAAGTCAATGCATATCTATATGTAGGTTTATCGTTGAGTTTGTTTTTACTTTTGCGGCGGGAAAATATTTCCCATGAGGTTTGATTTGATGTGATCGAGTTTTAACAATTGGACCTATTAAATATCGGCAAGGGCACGGTTAAGAATAGAGCTAGTTAGTACGAGATCTAACCACAAAAGACTAGTTGTCAAAAAAATTAAAACTCTCATTGCAAATGATCATCAAACAGTGATTACAAGTTTAATAGACTCATATATCACCCTAACATCAATTCCTATTGGCTAAAGAAGAAATGTTCATCTAAAGTTGGCTGAGACACTTTTCAAAGACACTTTTGATGCATAAAAAGTAATATAATATTAGAGAATAAGTGGATAACTCATATTCTACCATTAACATCATCTAGAGATTACAAAACCATGGATGATTTACCTCTTTGTAATATATACTCCTTTTTGTGACAAACTGATTCTTGTTGTGCAAGAACAATTAATTGAAACAAAAAAAATAGGATGCTAAAATTGATTTTGAATATTGAGTATTGAAATTAAAATAGCCCTTTAACACAAAATTCACGAAATATCATCACACCACACATTTTATTCGTAAAATAAAAGTAAAAATAACATCACCACCACAAATTCAATTTATAACACAAAAATTAAAACTTACAATCATACTTTACGAGCATTGTGGGTATAAGCTTCATTGTCCTTAGAAGTTCTCTTTGTGGAAGGAGAATCTAGTATTCGTCTTGTGTGTGAATTCCAAAGCTAGCTGCCTTAAATGCTTTGTCAATGCCGGCGATCCACAATAAAATACTCCTGCACGTTTATATAGACGATTCATTTGATATATCGTTCTCTTGTTTATGATCTTGTCATTAACTATATCATCAGACAATATTTACGAATGCTAAATCAATATTCTAGAAGTTTTGAGACTATCATCTTCCCCCAATGCTTTTAAACGTGTAACATTCCTGAAGCTAATTAAAAGGCTACTCTTTGCATGATCAGACACATTAGTGCGAAATGAAAATACACTTACTGCTCGGTTTGATGTGTGAGAGAGAGGGAGAGAACTTACCAACGTTAGATCCAGGGTGATCCATTGCTATCTGTTTGTAGACGTTTTCCCAATTAGGTTTGGCAAAGTGGGACATGACCCTAGTCCCGGAGACAATGTCCAAACCATTATTGGAGTGGTTTAAAGACTGAAGCATATGTATGAGCGCGGAACGAGCGTCATCTTCTTCGTAGACGCTAGTACAGTAGTTGTGTAGTTCTATTATTTTATTTTTGTCCCGCTCTGCGATCTCGTTCATGATGTTCTTGAACCAATCATATGAACCCTGCTCCCTTGTGACCCAGTAAAAGTAAGCCCTTCGTGTCTTGAAAGTTTCTTTCTTACCTTGTGGCTCCTGTTGCGATCCCTTCTCCATTTGGTTGAGTTGGGCTTGTTCCTTAGCCATCATATTGTTGATAATGTCCTTGATAATGCTGATCATCGGGGTGGCCCCAATCCCAAGGCCGACTAGAAGAACCACCTCGTACTTCTTGTAGTCTTGTGCTGGTGCGCCGTATGGACCATCAATCATGATTTTGGGGAAACTGTGGAAAAAGAAGCCATTGTCATTTTTATATTAACAAAATTAGCTTTTCTTAGGTTGATTAATTGTCCAACGGTCAAAGAACATATATAACATTAACGGCCAACAATGATGTTTGATAAGAAATGAAAGTATGTTTTCTTTTAAAACATAATTCAAACATTATGTACTTGAAAACAATTGATAAGACTGATTATAGCATGCATATATATAACAGCATTTTGTAAATGCATCAGAACAATGGATAAGACAAGAACTTGACTCTATATTATGAAAAAGGCAAATTTTTGTTGATATATTCTTGAAGTCATGAATATTTTATCCAAGTGAGAAAAAGTTGATAAAGACAATAATCCTCACTTAATAAAGTTGGGAAAAATTGATAGAGTATATAACCAATCCATAGATATATATTTCTGTTACAGCGACTTAAACCTTTGATTAATAGTAGTAGTTGGTAAATAACGTCTATGTTCACAACTTCACATGTATTATTTAAGAAAAGCCAGAATGGCTGATCGTAATACAAGACTTTGCGGACAAAACATAGACAAACAAAGGGAACCAGTGGGAACATGATTATCTAATACTATATATCATGTCTACGTATGTAATGAATCATACTTTTATGGGATGGTTAGAAGATGATTCTTTGATGTGGTTAGAAAATACTTACTCAATACTTTTTGCACTTTGCAACATGTCTCCGACCGGAGGTGGCTTAGACGTCACCTGAGACATAACGCAAACATTCTTCTCATGAAACTATTCTTTCCCTCACTTCAAGACTAATAAAATGATATAATTTTGAGATATCCAAAAGTAAATAAGACCTCGGAGAAAACTCCTTTAAGAGCCTTAGTCCAATCTCCAAGTGATTTTATATGAACGCTCAGATAGTCATCTTGTGGTGCAGAAGTTATTGAAAATGGATGCCTACACAGAGATACATGTAAACATATATGAGTAGTGTATACTAAAATGAATATAGGGTTCTTGACTCTTAAGTGTTTTTTCGGCGTACCACTCAAATGGTGAGACTGCTGGACAGTTTACAAACATGTACTGACCGCTCTTATATTTGAAATTTTTAGGCCTTGACATGAGCAAATTCAATACGTTTCCAGCATAAGCCGCAGCCTTAATAACTCTTACGGTCTTGATGCTCGATCTGAATGCTCGTATCAGTCTCTCGCATGCATAGAGAGCTACTGGTACTGCCAAGTACATCCACGTCTACGTACAAGCAAAACCCTCAAGTTATTTAGTTACAATATTTTTCAACACTCATGAGATTGGGGCTGAAAAAATGTTGAAACATCGAATTACTCACAGTTTTCTTGTACCATTCCTTACTGAGATACACGTAGTACCCGTGAACGATAAGGAGAATGTAGACTATAACGAACAAATGGTGAGTGTACCAGAAGGCATTGAAGCTAGCGAGTTTCTTTAGTGGCCCTGGAAGCTGTTTCTCTAGCTTCCCTCGTCTAAACCAAGGCAAAGCTAGTGTAAAAGCAATTGCCATCAAGAGAACCATCACGAGCCCTGTTATTCCTTCTGTTGACTCCACAAAATGCGAATATCTCTTCGGTTGCTCCTCCCCAAAGAACTTTCCTAGAGGCTTGTATGCCTCTGGAGTTGCTGCGATTAGCCGTGGAAAATCGCACGCTAAGTGAGCCACCGAGTGTATGCCTACTCCTATCGTGATTCCCACGGCTATAACCTGTAGTTTTAGGCGTCAAGATACAATAAATGATATCAAGAATGTGGGAAATTCTTGCATTTAAGAAACAATCCAGACTAGTTTCAAGGCATGTAAAACACCATGTTTCTTTCCATTTAAAATGTCTATATTGACCAACATGAAAGTGCGATGGATTAAATCCATATCCGACCAATAATATGAGGATTTCTCAATCACTCAACTACCAAAATTTGTCAAAATTGTTAGCTAAAGTTGTGGTTTTACCTTATGAAAGTTGAGGTTGTCATCAAAAGGGACAAAAGCACCGAACCTAGTCTTATTTCTAAGCCATGTGATGGTGTTTCTGCATACAGGTAACAGAATCAAGGCCATGTTCAGCTTCAAAGTCTCTGCTGTACCTTTGGCCAAGCACACACAATGCCCCAACACTTCATACACTGCTCTGTTCTTGTATTGAATATACTTGTATACGAAGAGGACGGCCATAACCGTGAGCCATAGGGCTATCACCCAAATTCTTTGCCAGCTATCCAGCACAAAGAATCTCATTCCACGGTACCATCTCCTAAACGGGTTAGGGTCAAGCGTAGGCTTAAGCTTCTCACTTAGCGTTTGGCTCAGCTGCTTTCTTTCTTCACTATTTGTGAGTACAGGTTCTGTTTCTGCTTGCAGCAGCAGAATTTTAAGACTGTCTACCTGTTATATTTTCACCAAGGAATTATATATAGCAACAACACTATTTGGCGAAAATATTGGTTTTTTGGACTATCATGCAAGAAATTAAAGCTAAATTACCATGATGTATCCCATGTTATGTGGGTCAAGCACCTCCATTATCATTGCTGCATATTCATCTGCCTTTTTCTGGATTGTTGACAAACTGTTCGTAGAGGAACTAAGATTGATGATCTGCAAACCCACCAAAAGACAATAGAACAGCTCAAAGAATATTTTTCATATTTTCAAAGAAAATTATTAAGATGTTGAGATTTGTTTGTTTTCAAATTAATTATGTACTGTTTTGTAAGTGAACTTGTAACTTTATGTAGCATATTTTCATTTGTTTAAATAATTACACACAACAAAATATGAAAATGTTTAACTTTCTAAGAATGTGAATTTGTTTGAAATAATTATGGACCTCATTAGTTTAAAGACTCTAAACATGTACAATTACCTCTCTAACTTCGTCTTCGGTTAGTCTACCATTACCGTCTTTATCCATCCTGCATTTTAGAAACCCTTTGGCTCAAATTTTAGATTCATTACAATACAAAAGACCAAATGGGTGATGCACTGATGCTTATATACAAAAAAAAAAGAAAATACATGTCGAAGAACGTCATAAGCCTGGAATCAAATTTTTGATCACTGATTTGCTCCCAGAAATCTTTTAACTGGTCCTCATTAATCACATCCCCTGTCATATTCCTTCTTCTAGCTAATGCGTCGAACAATACCAAAGCAAATTCCTTTGAATTCATTCCTGCAATATGTCAATATTCCCACATAAATCCACGTCAGCTCTTTGGTTGGTTCAACGTAACTCTTATAAAATTTTACAATTTATACCTATGCATTCACCGAATTTTGACCGAAGCAACAAACCATCAGTATCTTTCGTGATCTTAACAAACCGCTTCTCCACGGCGGTCCAGCCAGCGCCACGGTCGGCCTTACTGATGAACTTGAGCCCTTTCAAGGCCAGACCGGCCGTTGACTTCGACCGGTCTAACCGAGCTGGCGTAGAGACCGACGTCAAGTGCTTGAGCTGGTTAGAAACAGAGGCAAGCCGCTTCACCAGGCCACTTCGTTTCTGCTCCGGATTCTCCTTCATGTTCGATCCGTCATCCGCCGCGTTTCCGAGGTCTTCCATCGCCGGATTTTGGTAGACCGGCTGCAATGATCTGTTGACGATGAACTATCTATGTCGCTCCTCTTCTTTGCCTCTGTGTTCTGGTAGTCTGTCCCTCGCTGTGTAGATTTGTCCCCTTTTTAACGGAAGGTTTCAACGGGAAACAAAACGGAACAAATGATTTCTTGCAACTCAAGTCAATGCTCTGAGGAATATATTTACCGAGAAAATGAGAGAAACTCTTTGGGATGTCACTATAGATATTCGCATAGTGCGCGTATTGTCATGTATATGTAAATGGCGACGGTCGTCACTATTTAACGACGAGTAAATTAGATAACACACAACATGTATATTTCCGCCAACAAGTGTTAGCATAAGCATAAGAAAAAAAAGTGTTAGCATAAGCTAAAGAAATTATAACTTTAAATAAATAAGAAAGACGTGGGGACTTGGACCCACAAATTTTATTTGTCCGTTATGGTCAACTCCTTATTGATTGATTAATTAAAGACCGAATAGGTGAATACAAGTACAATAAAAATTCTATAAATTAATAATGTTGGGACTTTGATATTTTATTAATTTATAGAGTTATTAATTTAACGATTTTGACTAAACAAAAATTAAAAATAATGACAAGAAACTTCTCAATTTTCATTTATATCAAATAAGAAATTTCTCTCTGAAGGTAAATTTGTTTAACTTTTTTCTTTTATATTTCTGTATTTACTTTACATTTTTTGGTACTTGTCATTTTGTTATAATACCTTTAGATGCGGTTAAGCATAAAAAGACAATTATCGTGTCTAGAACTCTTCATAGTTTTTGGATGCAATTCAAAAATACAACACTAAATTTTTTTGATGTTGTAAGAAATTTTAGAGACTAACTACAAAAGGCATTCAACTTTAAAAAAAAAAGCAAACAACATTACATTACATTTATATTCTAGTAGGTTAACTTATTTCTATATATTTATATTTTTTATATGATAATTATTAATTTATGATATTATTGGGACCATATTTTACATAGGAGTTTTAAAAATGTTATTATCTTATTATTTTATCGAATTGTGTCATATTTTACATTAGCCCGATTCGGGACCGAGAGATTTTATTAATTTATCGTGATTATGAATTTATCGAGTATTAATTTATAGAGTTTCTACTGTACCAACTACAACAACGACTAAAACCTAGTTTTTATAAAAAGTAAACTTTTACGTGTTACGTGTTTGTCAATCTTTAAATCCTTTCTTAATCATTGATACATTACATAAATTTAGTCAATAAACACCAGCCTCCAACTAATATCAGTTTTCAAATCATTCTAAAGGGGGTTTCTACTTTTGTGTCTTGAAATAATTGTTTCTATTATCTTTAACTTGTTACCGTTAAACACCTTCGTTTTAGTTAGTAACAGAATACTGATATTCCCCCAAACTAATTTGTAAACTGGAAAAAAATAAGCAATCTAAATGGAGTGTGCATTTGTAGAATCATAGATTATAACGTATATAAAAATGTACAAACTAAAGAATTGTTTAACTAATTTCGCCTTACATATTGTCTGAAAATTGTATATTCAGTTCCTTTTTCTTTTATCAGGGTTTTCAAACCAAATGTCAGACTATAACCAAAATTCAAACTAATTTCTTTTGGCCGGCCTTAAAAAGGTTAATAAGAAAGAAAGAAAGAAAAATCACATAAAGAACAAACATGAAAATTATTCATCTCACATCAAATAAAATTCAATTAACAATCTAGATGAAGGACTCTGTGACACATTGAGCTGTGTTCTTATTACAACGACAAATTTTTAATTGAGTAACTTCAGTAATGCAGAACTAACTGAAGTCAAATGGCTCAGAATTCAGAAGTCTGCTTAAGCAGAAGAGGAAGAAGCAGCCTTTGCGGCCTCAAGTCTGGCACTCACAGCCTCCCAAGAGACGAGATTGTTCATGAATGTCTTTATGTAATCCGGTCTCCGGTTCTGCTCACATACAAAAATATTACAACAATCAACAGAACAAAGAAACTGAAAACCAAAAAAACCTTTTAAAGTTTTAGTTATGATTATTACCTGAAAGTCGAGATAGTAGGCATGCTGTTCCATGTAAGCAAACGAGGCAAAAAAGAGAGATCAAAAAATTAGTAAACTAAACAATAGGTTCTTGGACAAACATTGTATTATGCTACAAAAGTGTTTATTTACCTCCCAGACATCAATGGTAAGCAATGGCTGCAAAAATTACCACCAAGATTATAAGGATTCGTATCAATTGTAAGGTGATATATAATCAAAGTAAATTTTGTTCAACTTCTCTCATGAAAAGACTTACGAAAGAGCCGAGCACAAGGGGATTCACGGCATTTGGAGTTTTCACTACTTTGAGTTTGTCATTTGCATCTGAAAGCAAGAGAGATAAGAGTGAGGAATAAATTAAAATAGTTTTATGGAGATCTTAAATTTGAAACCCTTGAACTTACAAGCAAGCCAGGCCCAGCCAGCTCCAAACTGAGTGGCTGCAGCAGCATTGAACTCATCATAGAACTTCTCATAAGAAGTGAAATCTCTTTCAAGCAAAGCAAGAAGCTCTCCTGCTGGTTTTCCTCCACCATTGGGCTTCATTGATTCCCAGAAGAACTCGTGGTTCCACGCCTATATGTATATACACACACACCACTAGATCAGCTAATCAATCACACCCTTTTATAAGCTGAAATTAGAGGTTTATTGTATTACCTGAGCAGCGTTGTTGAAAGCAGGGAGGAGATCGCCATTGTTGTAAGTGGTGTGGATAATGTGGTCTATGGTTTTGCCTTCAAGCTCTGTTCCAAGAACCTGTTTCTTGAGGTTGTCCACGTAAGCCCTGTGATGCTTTCCCCAGTGAAACTCCAGAGTTTGTCGGCTCATATGTGGCTCCAAAGCATCCTTTCCAATATTATACCAAACAACATCTTATCAAAACGCTCTCACTCAACATTACACCAGGCATCTTATGAAAGTTTTTGACTGGACAGTTAAAGTAAAAAATAAAAATAAATCTAAAACACACATAAAACAAGTGTGGTTAATTCCGACCAAAAAAAAAAAACAAGTGTGGTTAATTGAAGCAAGAGTTACAAAACAAATGTTGACTGGTTACAACTTACAATGGTTTAGGTATAATATCAAGATTTAACCGCACCAAACTTTTTCCATTCACACCATTGGATGATACTTACTTATTCGGACATGAATATCCATATTTCCTTATTTCGATTAGTCAAAAAACAAATTTCCTTAATTCGAGCAACAAATCTCACAATTTTCATAATTAACAAAAAAATATATATATATTAGGAGCTTTTCTTATCCCAAAATTATATTTGACCTGTTTTTTTTGTTCTTTTGTGAAATTAACGAGGAATAAAAATGTATTTTGAAGGCTAATGTGGGATTACCAACCTAGACGAAATATTATAAATTTATAATTCCAGAATCCAACCAACAGTTGCCAACAAATCCAATTGATTTGAAGGAAAAAGTAAACGAAATGATACCAGAGAGAATGGAGGTGGCTTGAGGACGTAGCCTGCGGTGACAGCACTTGAAGCAGCCATTCTTTTGGAACCGAAGCTGGACATTTCAGACAAAATAGCACGGAGATTCCAAGAAACTAATCAATACGTCTTTACAAAACACATATGACATAACCATATATATACAAATTAAACTAAAAAGATTAGTGAAATTTCTAGGCAGATAAAAGTACGGGTAAGCAAAACTTGAAACAAGAAAGTGGATCAGAGATAGAATCAGAACCTCTAGTTTCAAAGTGAGTGAAGAGAGCGAGGAGAGCACACGCCAGTGAAATCTGTGGCTTGGGGTTTTATGGGATGGGTCTCTGCTTTTGGGGGTATGGCGTTGCGTCAGTACATGTGGCAGTACGTTTCATTTTGTACTATCATTATCTCTTGTACGTTATATTATCTCTTGTAGTACATGTTTTTTTTTCCTTCCTTGGTGGCTCCTATAGTACGTTATATTATCTCTTGTATTGAAAATTATTGACATTTGTTTTTTTTTTTCTTAAAATAGTGATGCAATTATTATTTAGGATGTTATATATTTATTTAGAAAAAAATCGTGAAGAGATCTTTGAAAAATATTTAACTTGATGGTATTTTTCAAAGATGATGTCTTTTTTTTACAGTTCGAAATTTCGCAAAACAATTCCTCTCATTTAAGAAAAAGGTCAACATAATTTATTACGAACATGCCCCATATGGCCATAAATCTTCACTCAAATCTCAGTAACGAATTTTGTTGAACTTTTGAATCTCATCATACTCTCTTTCTTGTTTTTGTCATCTTAAGGTGAGATTATAAAGAGAAGGGCTTCCCATACACAGCAAATGCCTCGTTAGCACTCAACTGTGGTTCCTGTGTTAGCATCCCAACGTACCAAAATATGTTATCATCAATCATGTGGGAATCATATCAGTTAACATTATCTTGCTACCAAAATCATGTTTTGTGTGGATCGTGCTACCAAAATAATAACAAACTAAAACAATTAGAGGAAGAGTTAAGTAAAGATGAATGGATCACCTGAGTTTTTTGCGGGGCTTGGTTTGCTTCCTCATTGTCCTCAGTGGGAGCAGCGCCTAAGATGAGCAAACCAAGAAGAGTAGTGAGAAGATCAGCGCCTCCCATTTCCACAAGCTTTCTACCTTTGTTCTTGTCCAAGATCTCGTGAACCGTTGATCGCATCGCACTCAGTAAGCTCCCATAAGTCGTCCCGTGGCCACGTTCTATTGCTTGAATGAATGCATACGTCATTGCCCCCGTCCACGCACTCCCTGACAATTGCTGCAGTGCACACAACTTTTTTTCTGAGAGCTTCTAAAAATAAACTAAAGAGGGATGACAGTTTACATTTTGTGGAATGGTTACAAAATACTATCAAAAGTTGTGAAAGATTTATGAGATTACATATATGGGCCAAAAGTCAGGAATAAATACCGGAGTGTCAGCCGAGGTCTGGTCATCGTCGCAGCCCGTGAAGGAGAAGACTTCACCGCCACCCGTACCTTTCCACATCCCTGATTGAGGCCGATGGTCTTCCCAATCATATTTTCCGAGTCTTTTCACCAAGGATTAATAAAAAAAAGTTAATGACGATCGACCTACACTAGAACTATTTAGTCTTCATATTGTCTTTTGACATTTACGTTTACATGTTATAGTAAATGTGTTTTCTTCAATTATAAATTTTGAACTAACCTCTAATGTTTTGATTAAAAAAAAAAGGAAACAAACGGAGAGAATTCATTTTTGTAATTTCGTGTATGAGTCTACAATGAGCAATAATACGTCATAAGAGATAAAAATGATATACTTTTCAAAATTACGAAACAAAGATTATGCTGACAAAACAAAAACAGACAAAAAAATATGCGTGCAAAGTAAACAATCTAATTATCCAAACCTAGATGTATACACATAAAACAAGAAGTGTAATGTGTATCGTACCTGTCCATTCTACAAAGATAGGGCAGGTCCAAGACGGTACCACTATGACAAGCGTCGACGATGGCATGGAGTTTGGCTCCATAAGGGAGAGGCCGTACGATTGTAGCATTGATCTCGTCGTCTACGATGACACCTGAGGTCGCGTGGTCCACTGGGAGAAGAGTCTCGTCGAAACCATCGACCTCGTCACCGTTGTGGTCAATCTGGTTGTTGCCATGACCGGAGAAATGGAAAACAAGGGAATCCCCCGCTTTGCAGCCTAAAACTAGCCAATGCATGGCCATTTTTATGTTGTTCTTCGTTGGCCATCTCGATGGATCCTTTTCTTCTTCTACAACATTTATACCGTTCGATTTGATTAGCCACCAAAAATTGCTATACCAACAAACAAAGTAAATATGAAAGATGTATGGAAAACAGAAGAATACCGGTGAGCATAAGAATGCAAGATTCCGGGAAGTGGAAACGCTTCATCAACATGAACTTCATGCAGTTTGCGTCGTTGATACATCCTTTCAATTCGTCCTTTGTATTCTTATACGAAACCCCTATGATCACCGCTCGCTTCGATCCGTGTACCGCCGGTGGAGGACCTGGCGGCGCGTGATTGAACGGAGAAGGTCCCGGCGGCGAATGGTTGAACGGAGACGGAGCCGACGGAGCAAGATGGAACGGAGACTGTGCCGGAGCCGAATGACTGAACGGAGACGGTGTCTGCGGCGGGTATACGAAAGGAGACGGTGCCGGCGGCGCGTGACTGAACGGTGACGGTGCCGGTGGCGGGTAGATTGAATGGGACGGTACCGGCGGCGGGTAGACTGAATGAGACGGTGTCTGCGGCGGGTAGATTGAATGGGACGGCGCCGGAAACGTAGATGAGTTGGGGAAAGGAAGAGGGCTCGGCGGCGCGTGGGACTGGAGACGGTGGTCGGGAGCGATGAGAGTAAAGGCTTGGCAAAGGGCGCAGCGGATTCGGGTGGCTCCGGGAGGGAGGTGAAGCGGCGTACGACAGCTAGAGCAGTCCACCAGCAACAACATTCTTTTGCTTTGTATTTTCGAATTTCAACCCAAAATTTTACGAAAGTTGCAGATCAACTAAAACCTTTTCTTTCCGATGCGGTGACCAATCATCAATGATCAATGGCGGGTGTATTACAACTACAGATTAGAAGAAGATGCAAATCAAGTCGAGGAAGAAATATGCAGAGCAACAGAGACGACTTTAGGCGTACGGAGTCGTCAAGTCTTTTTTTTTGTGTGTGAGTTTGCTAAGACAATCATGCACCGAGTCAACTATAGGCGTACATATTAAATTAGCAAGTTGATAATTTTACAAGTTCCTTCTCCTCTATATTGCACTTTTTTTTTTCCCCCTTTTATAGAAGAATGGATTTGAATCATTTGATGAAGGAACTAATTAGAATGTAGTTGACTTTGATGGTAATGAGTTTGCTTGACTTTTTTTCTCGATATTAATTTGATCCCACCATACTAGGAAGATCAAGCTGTTCTCATTTACCACTGACAGACATTGCAATGTCTGATATACTTACAAGACATGCATTCGTCAAACTTTCGAGATTGATCTAAACTTTTTTAAAGGAAAAGTGGAAAACATCCCAAGTTTTTAACCCAAAAAAAGGAAAACATCCGAAGTTTCCACAATCATATCCTACCATATTTGATTTTATTAATTTGACTACAAACTCATAAATCTCAAAAGGATTCTGTGGATTTTTGCAGAACTTTTGAAACTCATCTTATTTTCAAAATACTAGTGTATCGATCATCATGTAGTACTGTATTAACAGATAAATACAGCATTTGATTTATATATAATCGGAATTGGGCCCATGCAGGGGAAGCCCAATTGAGATGCCGTATACCGGAAAAGGTAAGTCTCTCGGCCGAGAACGGAATTTTGGTTCACCGCTTAGGTTTTGCCAGTGTGCCTGGTTTCAAACATTTCGATTTTTTCCCTCTCTTTCTTTCACTTCTCTCCGTGAAAGGAACCAACGAAAATTCAGCGAAGATAGATGGAGAATCACCCGCCCAACAGAGGAATATGGAATCAAGAGTACAGTCACGGTCGTATTTCCCAAAACTTCAGGACCGCCAAGCCGCTCTTTGATCGGAAAAGGCCACCGGAGTCCCCCGCTTGTTTCTCCAATCCTTTCCCTCAAAGGTTCGATCTTCTTTTTATTTCAATAGAATTTCGATTGTATAGTCATTACCCATTGCTCTTCCATTTGTTATGCTTTAGGATTTGGTAATTTGAAGTAGGATTTTTGGTACACATTCATGCTTTGGAAATGGTTTCATCAGATTTGGTGTAAAATGTGATCAATTTCTTTATCTGGTGTTTCAGAATCAAGGATTCTGTGGGTACCGAATCCCATGTTCGCCATTTGAACTTCGATAGGATTCCTCTCATGGAGTTATCTGCGAATACACCACACAAACGCCACAAACCAGCGTTTGAGCCATCGGATGAGGAGGTCATAAACGCGTTCCAGACCGAGATTCCTGCGAACAATGGAGTTTCATCAGGATCATTTGTTACTCCACAGAAAGAGCCAGAAAGGGTTACGCTAAGCTACGATTGCTCTACTTCTTCACTTCTTGATGATGAACTTGATGAATCCTTTTTAGAAGAGATTGACCGTATCTGTGAACAGTCAGCGAGGAAAAAAGAATGTCAAACTCCAAGCACCAGCGTGACACTGACTCCGTCCGAAGATGTTAAGAACAGTGGCCTCAAGGCCGGCTTGGATTCTAGGGATGTTTTAAAGTCTGAGCCAAACTCAAATGTCAAACTGGAGCTGGATGAGGAGGCTACCATTGATGCTGATCCTGCACTGATTAGTTGCATGCCTGATGAGTGTTCAAAATATATGCAGTCTTTAAATGATAGACAGCGTGATGCAGCGTGCAGTGATGTTGCAACTCCTTTAATGGTTATTGCTGGTCCTGGAAGTGGAAAGGTCAGTATTTAATTAAACTTCTTTTCATGTGAAGCAAGAATTGTTGTGGTTTTCATGTTATACATGCGGTGCTAACTATTCGTTTTTTCATGTTAGACTTCCACCATGGTTGGCCGTGTCCTAGTGTTGCTTAATGAGGTATTGCTAATTATCTTGTGGTGAATGATTTAGAAAAATTTAGGTACTTGAGATTTGAAGCTTTCTTTTGTTTAACATAAAATAGGGTCTACATGCATCAAATATCCTTGCAATGACTTTCACTACAGCGGCAACTGCTGAGATGAGAGAACGCATAGGGAAATCTGCTGGAAAGAAAGCAGCCAAAGACATCACAATCAGCACATTCCATTCCTTTTCCTTGCAGCTTTGTCGGATGCACGCAGACAAGTGAGAATTTGAATTGTGAACTGCTTGGTAGATTTGTTAGATATTCTTTTGGTGGTTAATCTCGACTCAGAATGTTGGTAGAGGACTATATCTCACCAATTAGAAATGCAAATTTCTACTGTATGTTGTTGAATTTGTGAGTTAAATTAAAGGGCCAGGAATTGAAAGTAATACATGAAAACAAGATTAGTTGATAAAAAATAATTTCTTGTTAGTAGAATTACATGTGTTCGTTTGTAGTTGTTAGTTACATTCCACTCATTAACATCTTTAATGTTATAGATACGTGAGATTCATGGACCTTGTACCTTTCCTACTGTCACAGGCTACAACGTACATCTGAATTTTCAGTGTATGGACATGGGCAACAAAGAAGAGCAATAATTGAAGCAGTGCGTTTATACGAGGAGGAAAAGAAGAACGGAAGCAGCACTTCCGGTGCATGTGAATCTGGGGAAGGTCCAAACGTAGCCGGGGGAGGAGCAGTATGTCCTGAATATGCCAGGGATATATCAAAGAAATGGCAAAAATTTGTGACCCAGGTTGATAATAAATGGAGAATTGAAATAATTTATCTACTTTATGATATAGTGCGTCTCTTACCGTTAGTTGTTGTCAACTTGTTTCTGCATCCTAGGGAAAAGCTTCTGGTAGAACTCCGGAGGAGTGCCGTAAGATGGGCAATGAGATAGGAGTAAGTCATCCTTAAACTATTTCAGGCATCCCTACTATGATTTAGCTTATAAGATATGTTTTGTGCTGATACAGGCTAAAATTCTTGGAAACTACAATGATATCCTTAAAGCTTGTGATGTTCTGGACTATCATGATTTGATCAGTTGTTCTGTTACTCTGCTCTCTGACTTTCCTGAAGGTGAAGCCACTTAGATAAATTTTCTGGATTCAAAATTTATGACGCTCAATATTTCCTTGTGTTTACGCTTGTTTGCTGAATTTGATTAAAGTATTCAAGGAATGCCAAGAAACCTGGAAAGCCATCATAGTTGATGAATTCCAGGACACTAGCACGATGCAATACAAGCTTCTTCGAATGCTAGGGTCTCATAATCACATAACTATTGTTGGTGATGATGATCAGGTACCTTGTTTTCAAACAAAACTTACTTCTCTTTGTTTGATTATTTAAAAATTAAAAGCATGATGCATTTTTTCTCGCAGTCCATCTTCGGTTTTAACGGGGCGGACAGTTCAGGATTTGATTCTTTTCGCCGGGATTTCCCAAATTACAAAGAGGTTTGGCTTCTCCATCTGAATTAATCTTCAATACCATATATGATGTATTAGCTTAAGGAACCAGAATCTCTCGACATTGAATTGCGGATACAGAAAACTCATCTTACTGCTTCTCATTCAGGTCAGGCTGATAAAAAACTATCGCTCCTCCCGCCATATTGTGGAAGCTGCATCTTCTATCATTAAAAACAATACAAAGCGGTGCCAATCAAAAAGCATTTCCGCTGAAAACTCTCAAGGATCTAAGGCAAGTTGTACTTGTCTCTATGACAAATTGCATCATTTAATCGCTACAGGCTAATTTTTTTCATTTTTCCACCCAGTATAGATTACTGTGAAGGAATGCCACAACGAGGAAGCACAGTGTGCATTTGTCATTGACAAAATAATTGAAATCACTAATGATGGCTCAACACCTTGTTCTTCCCATGGAGATATTGCCATCCTTTATAGGAGGCAGGTCAGTCTTTTTCCTTTCCTTATTGACATGTTGTCACAGTTTTGAAAACTATAACATATTTACATATGTGATGGTAAATGACGAATGTACTGATATTCAGTTGTCAGGTAAAGTCTTCCAAGATGCGTTCCGCCAGAGAAAAATACCATTCAACGTTCATGGTGTTGCTTTCTACAGGAAAAAGGTAGATTGCCTCATAAGTAATTCTTTTTTTTTGAACTGTTGCATGATCTCGTATCTCAATGCTTGACATTGACAGAATGACAGTTCCTCCCCATAATTATCTTAGCTTTACATGTTTCAGACAATGAACTCCATCTAAAAGACGTAACACATATATATTTTCAGGTTGTCCAAATCATTATGGCCATGCTGAGAACAACATTATCCGAATGTGACGATGCTTCTTATCGGCGAGTATTTAAGGCATTACTTCCTTTTGAGAAAGAGGAAAAGAAAAGGGTTTGTACCTGATTTTCTATGTTTTACTTTTTCTTTCTCAGCTTAAGCTTTAAATTGCTTACGCTGTTTGTAATTAATTTACTTACAACCATCTGCAGGTTATAGAATATATTGACAAAATCTCCACTAGTAGGAAATGCAGCTTCATTTCAGCGGCTAGTGATATCTTCAGTGCCAAGATTTCTGGTACCTTCAAGAGGTATTGCTTGATGAATTCATTGAGAAAGTAATATTTAATACTGCTTTAGTTTTAAATCTGAATTGAGAATATTGTTTGCTCCTAGGCTCATTAATTAGGACATAATACAAGTTTTATCATACAAATGTTTATGCTTCTATTTTTCTTGATGCATACTGGAGTGATAGATATAAGTCGTTTTACCACCCAGATGTAGGTGACATAGTGCGCATCTACATATTCTAAGAATGGGATGCTGCAAATTTTATTCTCACAGTCTTGTTATTTTAGTTCACATTTACTGTAAAGCTTCTTAGCTTCGTTTGAATTAACCGCAGGAACCAGCTTACCCAGGGACGCAAAGTATTGCAAACTCTTGGCATGATAGAAAAGCTGGTTAATAGGGTAAGATATTTGTTTCCCGGTCCTTTATGAACTCATCCATCATTAGGTGAAATAATAAATGCCACTAATGCCTTACATCTTAATTATTTGCAGGAGCAATCACTTTCAGCTGTAGTAACATGTGTGGCAAACATGATACCGCAGGTAATTAGTTTTTCTGTCTCAGTTCCATTCTTGTAAGTGTATAGATATCATGCTTATGAGCTTAAGGTAAAAGTTCCACTGAAATATAATTTATGAACACGTTACTTTAATTAAAAGATTTACTGGGTCTTTCCATACAAACTCTTGGTGCCCGTGCCCATAGCTTCTTTTTATCACGCTTACGTTCTCATGTTGGTTCAACTGCTAGAAATACCTTCTGGAGAAACGAGCAGTTGTGGATAATGATGGAGGAAAACTGCTAAACGAAGACAACGATCTTAGATCTGTAAGTGACTTTTGCTCTTCAAAAACGTGGATAATAATTTTTTCCGTGCTTTAAAAATATTTTGGATGATTTCCTGTTTCCAGGTACTCCAGTTCTTAATGGATGATGTAGCTGAATTTATTTCCACTCATTGCCCTACAACTGGAGGAGAAGCGGATGCAATCAAAGAAACGAAAGGCTGCAATCAACTTAGTTCATTTATCAACTATATCTCCGAGCGCGAAACTGAAAATTTTCGATCAAGAAGACATGACAATGAAAATTCTGTCACATTGACCACCATTCATCAGGTTTTTGTCATCCAGTCATGCAATCCACAAATTCGTATTTATTGGTGTTAAATTAGCTGCTTCAGGCAGTAATGTAAAATATTGGCTGATATCTCCTGTACGTCTTTATGCAGTCTAAAGGTTTGGAGTGGGACGTAGTTTTCATAGTCAAGGTATATAACATTCTCTGTTGACTTCTTTGCCGGGTTATTTGCAGTTATGGACCTAGCATGATATGAAATACGACTTATTTTATAGAACTAATGAAACAACAAATTTAACAGGCTAATGAAAACGAGATTCCCCTATTACATGAGTCTAACGGCACTGCATCAGAGATTGGAGCATCACTCGAGGTATTACTCTTCTCTTTCCTGAACTATCTCATTGAATCTCCACCCACTTTCCACCTCTGTGAACGCTACGAAACTATATTTTAGCACATTGTTTGTTTAAATTGTAGGAAGAACGTCGCCTTCTCTATGTTGCTATGACTCGTGCTCGCAAGAAATTATTTTTCTTGTACGTGACAGTGGATTCGAACTGGCAGGTTAGTACTACATATGATGTGCAAATTTTTCCTCTCTAAACTTTGTCTCTGACTAACGACCTTCCATCCAGGTGCTCCAACCCTCACGATTTCTTAAAGAGATTCCAGGCCATCTTCTACAGGTTCAAATCTCAGTTTGCTGCAGTTTTATGCATGAGAATATGAAAGCACTAATAAGAACTCACAAATATGTCTTGACTTTTGTCTTTTATTAATAGGGAGACTTGAGCGTAAATGACTGCAGAAATGTTCATCACAACCTTCCAAACAAGACTGAGCAGAGCGTCTCTTTCGGAACAGAAATAAAGCATGAGGAAAATAAATCAAATGATAATGATGTGATGAACATTCAAGTAGATGATGCTACCAAGGAGTCAACAGAAGTGGCATATGGACTCGACGGGAACAACTTCCTTAAGAGGTTACGTTCTTAAAGTCCACCATAACTATCTAATTTGTGCTCTGTTGTTCTGCTTCATCATTCAAAGGTTTTTGACTTTTATCCTCAACAGGTTTGAAGTGGAGGTTAGATCAGTTGTCTCTCACTTATTTCACAACTGGGCCAAGAAACAAGCATTCCAGGAGCCGAAGAGGCTGATTGACAAAGTGAGTATCGTATACTCTGCAACAGTTCAAGTTCAACAGTAAGCGCCAAGCAATGTTCTTAGCTTACCTCATGTCAATGTTTTTGTACATGCAGGTAAGGTTTGTGATTGGTGAACGTTTGGCCATTAAGAAGGAGAAACACAAGGTTGTATACCTCTCTAATAAAATTTGGTCTCGTCTATATATTTATTCATAAACAAACCAACACAGTAGTTTTCTTGTTTCGTTACTGTAAGTTTATTTATTAAGGCCTACGAAGCCATACAGAGTGCTGGAATATGCTTTGGTGACTAACTGGATACTGTGCTATTTGTTAGGATGTCTTACGAACACTTAAATCATCATTGACTTCCGAAGAAGCGTTCCAATATGCAGAACATGTAAGCATATTATTCCAAAAACACTGTCACACACTAATGAGTTGATAGAACTGAAAACTGAGATTGTGGTGCTCATGTCATGTGTACTTTGGGGATGTCAGGTACTTAGGTGGGAACAACTTCCTGCAGACACACGGGCTCATATAATGCGCGAGAAACAGGTAATACTTCTCTGTTTTGAGAAAGCAAGAAACTAATAGTTAACTTAACTCCACAAAATATGATAATATTCTGTTTCAGGAGCATTTCCAAAAACTGAGAATTGAAAACTCAATGGGAACTTCGGAAGCAACGAGTAAACAGGTAAAAGCACCGTATGATTTATCCAACGTTTGTATAATACTTCAGTCTAGCTTTCATTTTAACCAACCGAAAATTGAAAGATTGATATATTTTTCGTATATGTTTTTGAAATGGCAGATTGCGTTTCTGCATAGTCTAGGATGCACGGTCGTCCCAACATCACGTCTCCATGCGTCACGTCTGATCGAACAGTACAAATCACTATGAGACTCTTGATGTATTTATAGTCTCAAACTGAGACTGAATATAAACAAACAAAGGAGCCCTGTAACGATCTCGATTTCCTGATGGAAGGTCAATCGAAAGAAGGTATATATATATATATATGATTTTCATTCGCCCAATTACTTGGAAGTTTGAAACAAACAGTTTATTGTATCTCTCTTAGTATATATTGTCCTTAATGCCACATTTGGAGGAGTTTGTGAGATAAAACTCTCTTTTTTTGATAAAATGAGAATAATGTACAGGAAAAACCTACAAAATATTATTTATATATACTAGATTTGGAGAGCATTACATTTTGAATATGAAATAAGAAATAACTATTATTGTAACACTGAAATGCACTCAATGTGATGCATGGATACACCATTTTCGTTGTTCTGTAGCAAACGGACAACACCATTTATTTGATCATAGTATCATCACCATTGGTTATAGTACTCACATGACCAAGACAAGAAACGAATGTGATCTACAGAATATTGTATTTCCATGAGAACACTCACTTTTCCTTATGTCCTCAAGTGGCCAACTAGTTTCTTAACCATAGCATCGGATTGGATCTTTGCAACCTTTCTCAGCTGATTGCCTGAGACCCATCCGACCTCCTTTCGCCAGGTATTGCTGGTGGTAGTTCTCTGCTCTGTAGAATTTCGTGGCGGGAAGTATCTCAGTCACAATCTTCTTGTTCAAGATCTTCTCCTGTTTCTCCACTGCTTCACGAGCTATCTTCTCTTGCTCGTCTGTGTAATAGTATATCCCTGATCGGTACTGCGTCCCCACATCATTCCCCTACTCAATCAAACAAATACGTCAGCACCATATGTAAATGACCTCAACAACAATCCTAGATTCATCCTCAAATACACAGAGCGTCTAATCTCACATCACAGTTACTGATTCCAAATGTAATTCAAATTGAGATGAGATAAAGTCTAAAACTTTTGAGGGTAAAGCTATGACCTGGCGATTCAAGGTGGTTGGATCATGGCGATCCCAGAAGACATCGAGCAAGCTCTCAAAGCTGCAATCTTTGGGATCGTACTGAACTCTAACGACCTCGTTGTGTCCCGTCGTGCCCGTACAGACATCCTCGTAGCTCGGATTGTGGACGAGGCCATGGCTATAACCAACCTCGGTCTTCGTCACACCAGGGACTCTCTGGTAAGCTAGCTCAACTCCCCAGAAGCAACCGGCGCCGAATTGCGCGAATTGCTGACCTGGCGACGGAACATCATCGTCGGGTCCTTGGGCGATTGCGGCGGAAGCCGGGTCGGGTTGGGGACGTGACCCGAATCCGAGCCTGTTGAAGAGGTTGTTCATCGGGGATTTGTAGACGGAGATGGGTCGAGCGGTTTTGGGGAAAGGGCAGACGGGTTTGGCTCTAGATAGAGGGAGCGCGGCTTTAGTGAGAGAATGGAGGGGTTTAGAGAGAGAAGCGGCGGAGATGACCGGAGGAGAGGCAACGAGAGCCAGCATTATCGAAGGGAAGGGGGAGTGGAGTGACGTGGGAAAATTGGAACTTTAAGAGTTCGGATATTTTTCTATCTTAAAATTTTCATTTTTTACGCTCGAATTTGTCGCCACTTTTCTAGAATATTGCGGAATGATAATCTGTAATACTTGATGTTTTAGAGTTTACACATAAATTAAGAAGTAATTAATATTTAACTTTTTCATTTTAAATAATTATCCGCCAATAAAAATTATAGATTTCTCTAATGCAACATTTATTAATAAAAAATAACTTTAAAAGCTAAAAACATAAATACATGAAACAAAAAAAGAAAAGTTTAAACATCAAATATTAAAAAACAGATGGAGTATATTTCAACTCTTTTATATTGGTTGAGAATTGACACGCTCACAAAAATACTCATGTTTGATCGCGCTAAAGTAGAAAAAAAAGAGTTAATTCTAACAGAGAAGGTTTTAAGAGAATTTAGGGAATTCAATGATAGAATTCACGTGATCAACGAAGTAGAAGATGAAAGTTTTTTTGAATTTTGGGAAGCAGTGGATGCCAATTCCATAAAAACACCATAATTGATGAGACCATGAGGATCTCAACTTCCAAGAACTTCAAAACAAAATTGCAAAGTTAAAAAAAAAAGCATTATTGACTGTGTGTGAATTCTTGAAGCCACAATCTGAAAAGTACAAAAAATGTACAATGGAAGTGTGTCCATTTTTGGTGAGTGGTACTTGGTGAATGGTGCAGGTTCAAAACTACTTGGAATGATCTCCAGCAGCATGGATCAAGGGCCATAACAATATTGAAGAAAAATATATATCTAAATTTTTTGTTCATTGTGTTTAGCAGCTTGAAATGTGATCCATCTGCTAGAAACAATTTTTTTTTTCTTTTTTATGTCATTTTGTCTTTTGGAATTGTGTTCATGAACGATTTGTGTCATTGAGACTATTCTGCCAAATAAAGAAAGTTTTTGTCATACTAATTACCATAAACATCTTGAGCTAAGTTAAGTTATGCCTCAGTCTCCAAAGAAGCGCACTCGGAAAAATGGAGGATGTTTAGAGATCATTTATTGGATCATTAATGTATTTGGTCGATTGGTAACAACTAAAAATACCTTGCTTAACGAAACCTTACATCTGTTAACACGAAAGTTACCTTATTTTATTAATGAAGTTCGAAATTAGTTTTTCATTTGCTTAGTTAAGTGCTGTTGTTCTTCATAAAGCCACAATCAGAGGAGAAACAGAGTACATACATTATATATACATATGAAAGGCAAACGGTTTTATGCATTTTTCATCATAATTAAGATAGTCTTGGCTTCTTGGGTTTGGAAGGAATTTACGAAAGGCCCGACCTCATATAAATCAGCCCAATACATGGTCCGTTTCGAGTGTACGTTCGGTTCAGTTCCAACGCCACATTCAGAAGTGAGACAAGAAAAACAAACGTGTCCTCAAGTAGACCCCTCTCGTTTACACATGCAAGTGCTGCATGGTGACGCCATTAACACGTGTCGTATATTGCATGATGACGCCATTGACACGTGACTTTTCTCGCCTCCCTTCTCATCATATATCTATTCAATTTAACACTCGCAGCTATTCCAACACATACACACATCCGATCTCTCAAATTTCGATATCTCCTTTCTCTAGTCAAACAAGAGCAAAAAATGGCGGACACAGCTAGAACAACTCATCACGATATCGTCGGCCGAGACCAGTACCCTATAGTGGGTCGAGACCGAGACCAGTACGGCCTCCAGTACCGAGACCAGTACGGTCGTGGTGGTGACTACTCCAAGTCTAGGCAGATTGCTAAAGCCGCTACTGCTGTCACCGCCGGTGGATCCCTCCTTGTCCTCTCCAGCCTCACCCTTGTCGGAACAGTCATTGCTTTGACTGTTGCAACTCCTCTCCTTGTTATCTTCAGCCCAATCCTCGTCCCTGCTCTCATCACAGTAGCTCTCATCGTCACCGGATTCCTCTCTTCCGGTGGGTTTGGCATTGCTGCTATCACCGTCTTCTCTTGGATGTACAAGTAAGCACTCATGTCAATATCATCATCTAGTTTGTTATGCCTCTGTCTATATGTAAAGGCGTTGTGTATGATATTGATGCATGGATGTGTGTGATGGTGATGAAAAGGTATGCAACGGGAGAGCACCCACAGGGATCAGACAGGCTGGACAGTGCAAGGATGAAGTTGGGAAGCAAAGCTCAGGATCTTAAAGACAGAGCTAGCTACTACGGACAGCAACAACATACAGGTGAGCACGACCGTGACCGCACCCGTGGCACCCAGCACACCACTTAAATGACGATGTTGTTGTCATCGTCACAGTCCAATAACTCCGATGTCGGGGAGTCGAGGTCAAGAGGAATAAGGTGTTTAAGAATTTGATAGGGGGGGGATAATAAAAGCCGATATCACGAGTTTGTTTCTTTTTTTGTTATAAATAATGTTTCAAGTGTCTTTTCTCTTGTCAAATGGTACCATGTTTTTTTTTTTTTTTTTTTTTTTTGCTTCTTGTTTTCATTTTGTAAACGTTGTTGTGTTGGCTCGTTTGTAAGTGGTTACGTTTATATGGATAATGTTCTGTTTTGTGAAACTTCATTCCGTTAGGTGAAACTTTCGATATTTTGTTATGTTGTGGACTGCCTCTCGGATGTGCCTGATGGGGATGTTTAAGACCAAATGAAGGACTTCCTACTTATGCTGAATTAACCGATTGGAATTTTCAACTACACCAAGTATATTATGTTTACATGTTTTGCTTAATTTAATTGTTAATTTTTTTAAAAAAATCTTATGTTCCTTAATCAAAACATCGATTTTTTGTTGCTAAATTAACTTCAAACCATAACCAGTGTGTTATTTAGGAAACATAAAATTTCTAATGGTTTGATATGTTTCATAAAGTGAAAGCAGTTTCAAGCTAACACTCAAATTTGTAGAGGCCAATACAAAACACTCAAAATGGGGAATTGGAGCTTCTGTTGATAATCTGAAAAGTGACATATAGTGGAACAACACGTATAAGCACTCGTGATAAGACAAGGGAAACAAGATACACCACCATCTTTAATAGTATAGATGTATTGCTTTATTACTTCCATTACACAAATTATTGTATCCCTCAGAATCTAATCAAACGTGTATAGCTTTACCACTTCCATTAAACAAATTATGGTATTCCTCAGAATCTCTGGATGGTGTGTGTCCATCCCATTTTTTTATTCATACTTGCAGTTAAAAGTCACAGACAAATTATATTTTGTGTTGTTTAGTGTCTTCCTCACAAACAACATAATTCTTGAACCAGAGGAAGCTAATTGGCATTTTTGCATCTTTATAAATTGTTGTTGGAACAAGCTCTCTTAACAAAGAACTGAAGTCATTAGCACATACATATATAGCAAGTAACTACATGGCAACCCAAACTTTCAAAAACAGCAGGTTGCTTCATTGGTCACCCGGAATTAGCCCTGAATAGTCGAATTAGAGTTTTCCCAACTTCAGGGGATATAATACATTGGATTCGGAAGTTTGAAAGACCTCTCCGACATTGCAAAACCCAACAAATCACTCCATTGATCACCTGAATTGCCTCTGATCCTATACCCTTCTTTCACCATCTCTTCCCTCTTCTCCGACTTGTACACGGTCGCCGTCTTGCGCTCATCATCCGACGACCTGTTCCCATTACACACCAAATGAAACCGTTAGATCATCCAAACAGAAGATCAAACAATGTCAAGTTATCAAGAATTAGATACAAACTTAATTATGAGCTACATCGTACCTCAGGATAAGCTCGTCCCAGTTACGGAAACCGGTATTGAGGAGGTTCTCGACGGTCACAGCCCTGTGGATCTCTCTCCGCCCTGTAAGCAGGACAATTTTGTACCCCAAATCTTTAACCTTTTGGTAAAGTTTCAAGCTTGGTGCTATGGCAGGTGCAACACCTTTCTCCACCCACTTATCAAACTTGAAATGATCAAAAGCTTCCAACCTGAAAAATTCCCAAACAGAAATTCAGTAAACGAACACAGATTCACATTTAACAGTTTCTAGATTATCTTGTAGATGATATCAATTGAAAAAGACAGACGACCCAAATCTCTAGATTCATCAATATAAAATTATTATTAAAAAAGAAACAATTTTTTAGCGATATTGTTGAGGAGATTGAAGAGAAATAATTACCCACAACCGTGTTCTAGATAATACGGAAGATTCGATAAGAGAGTCTCATCGATATCGAAAATCCAAATATCTTTCCCGTCACCGGCAAATCCGAAGCTGCTCGCGTAAACCATAGACTCTTCCGAGACTCTCTCCAGATCGACGACGTAGCCTTTACCCGTCAGGTAGTTTTTCACGTAATCGGCGCATTCCGTCGGAATCGTTTTCCACGGCGCGAGGTTGTTCGTCTCCGCCGCGAATCTCCAGCTCGTGCAATGCACATTGACATTGTCGTTGTCGACGCTCTTGAGCTGGTGGGACTCGAAGATCAACGGCCGCGGAAGGAGGTGCGGCGAGCTGGAGTTTTCCGACGAAATCGCGAGCGCAAACAATGTCGACAGCGCGAGGAGAATCGCGAGAATCCGCATCTCGTATATTGCCGGAAACGGAACGAAAC